AAAAAAAAAAAAAAACTCTTCTTTGCTGCAAATGAGCTAACCAGGTTCCCAGGCACAACCTACTCCTGTGTTGCCAACTATGAAGGCACCAATGTTGAGATTAGTATGTCTACATGAAGCTTCTTGGAAACGAGATTGTTGGTTAATCATTTCATCGCGTTCAGTTGCCAACGAGCAGGGTAGCTACACAACCCCCTCGTTCGTCTCTTTCACCGAGAAGGAGCGCTTGATTGGCGAGGCCGCAAAGAACCAGGCGGCGATGAACCCGAAGAATACCATCTTCGATATCAAGTGCGTTACTGCATGAGCGTCAAATAGCTTGTATCTCGTCTTAACATATCTTAGGCGTCTGATCGGCCGTCGTTATGATGATCCCATCGTCAAGAAGGATGTCGAATCATGGCCCTTCAAGGTAGTTGACCAGGGTGGAAGCCCCGCCGTCGAGGTTGAGTATCTTGGAGAGACGAAGACTTTCACTCCCCAAGAGATCTCCTCCATGGTCTTGATGAAGGTAACGAAAACCATTAACTCTAATGCTAGACTACATGATTGATGGTATGTCACAGATGAAAGAGGTCGCGGAGACCAAGCTCGGTAAGAAGGTTGAAAAGGCGGTTATCACAGTGCCAGCCTACTTCAACGACAACCAGCGTCAAGCGACCAAGGATGCCGGAGCTATCTCGGGCCTTAACGTCCTTCGTATCATCAACGAACCTACTGCTGCCGCCATCGCCTATGGTCTTGGTTCCGGAAAGTCTGACAAGGAACGCAATGTCCTGATTTATGATCTCGGTGGTGGTACCTTCGATGTGTCCCTGTTGAACATACAGGGTGGTGTCTTTACTGTCAAGGCTACCGCTGGTGATACTCACCTTGGTGGACAAGATTTCGATACCAACTTACTCGAGCATTTCAAGAAGGAGTTCCAGCGTAAGACTGGAAAGGACCTCTCAGGTGATGCCAGAGCCCTGCGCCGTCTGAGAACGGCCTGTGAGCGTGCCAAGCGCACTTTGTCCAATGCCACTCAGACTACTGTTGAGATTGATTCTCTGTTTGATGGAGAAGATTTCAACTCATCCATTACTCGTGCTCGATTCGAGGACCTGAATGCCAAGTCTTTCTCTGGTACATTGGAACCAGTTCAGCAAGTTATCAAGGACTCCGGCCTTGAGAAGAGCAAGGTTGATGAGATCGTGCTTGTTGGTGGTTCCACTCGTATCCCTCGCATTCAGAAGCTTCTCAGCGACTTCTTTGACGGAAAGAAGCTTGAGAAGGTGAGTACTTTCTTTCGGCAGCATATTGTGGATGACATTGGCTGATTTATCTTCTAAGAGCATCAACCCCGATGAAGCCGTCGCCTACGGTGCTGCCGTCCAGGCTGGTATCCTTTCAGGAAAGGCCACTTCTGCTGAGACCCAGGATCTTCTGCTGTTGGACGTTGTTCCGTTGTCTCTTGGTGTTGCGATGGAGGGTAATATCTTTGCCCCTGTGGTGCCTCGTGGGCAGACTGTTCCTACCATCAAGAAGCGCACTTTCACCACTGTTGTGGACAACCAGACAACTGTTCAGTTCCCCGTCTACCAGGGTGAGCGTACAAACTGTGCCGACAACACCTCTCTTGGAGAGTTCACCTTGGCTCCCATTCCGCCCATGAGAGCTGGTGAAGCTGCTCTTGAATGTGTTTTCGAGGTTGACGTCAACGGTATCCTTAAGGTTACTGCAACCGAGAAGTCTTCCGGCCGTAGTGCAAACATCACCATCTCCAATGCTGTTGGTAAACTCTCGACCACAGAGATCGAGCAAATGATCGACGGTGAGTGCCCTTCTCTGATCAGTCTAACCGAAGCGTCCCATAACTGACATCATTTAGATGCCGCCAAATTTAAGTCTAGCGACGAGGCTTTCACAAAGAAGTTTGAGTCCCGCCAGCAGCTGGAGTCTTACATTTCCCGCGTCGAGGAGATCATCTCCGATCCTACTATGTCGATGAAGCTGAAGCGTGGCAACAAGGAGAAGATTGAATCCGCTCTCAGCGATGCTATGGGTCAGCTCGAGCTCGATGATTCCACTCCCGAGGATTTCAAGAAGAAGGAGCTTGTCCTCAAAAGACTCATTACTAAGGCTATGGCCACTCGGTAAATGAATCTTGGTGGGACTTGCGGTGACCGCTGCAAGTAAAAAGGAAGTAATCAAAAAACGAACTGGACGCGTTATTTAGTGTTATGAATAGAGGCCAATCTGCTGCTCTGCTACCTATGCAACAATTTTGACATGAGTTTCGTGTATATGTATGGGCCCTCTAGACTAGGCGCATGTTTATAATTCAGTACAGAATGGTCAACATGTCTTATATTTCAGAGAAGACTGTTCCTATGATTTTGATGAGCCAGTGAATCTATATACTCCTTCTCATGACACTTTGCGGGTATGCTATGTTCCAACTTCCTAGATCTGTAATGAGCTTAGGCAAGTGGGCTTCGTAATGACTATACCTCTAGTTCATTGCAATAGTTAGTTTAATAACTTTTCTATTCTGCGAACCACGAAAGGTATAAGTACTACATGGTCTAAGCCGTTGGTGTTATGGATGGGTTAGAAACCTAGTAATTTTTTCTGATTTGGTTAGCGCGCCTTGAGGTCGGTGATCTGTGGAGTGTTTTCGGAGTATGGTGGTTCCCCGACGTTTCGAAAACACTATCTAATAAATTCAAGCAAAACGCCTTGCCTTTCTACTTGCAAAAACTAGTCAGTTGACGTTATTATCTGTCAGTGGCGGCGAATATCAGGAAGGATGCAACGTATTCCTGCATTATCTTGTCAAATTCAACATCTATTATCCTCACTTACAAATGCCAGCTCCCCAGTCAGCCTTCAACGGGGGCGCTGCCTGCTTCAAAAGCGCAATCTAGCAGTCCCAAATGGGAGAATGAGGTTTTCTACCTCCCCTTTACTTTTTAAGAAAAAAGATAAGACGAAGAACATTTCTAGTTCAAGTCCAGATCCAAGGCCCCCTAAAGCTGGTCTTGTTTCTGATGATCCATATGATCTCGCTCAACTACATGATGGCATTGCGGCCGCGGTGTCTCGTCTCAAAGACGACCTTTCTAAGCTACGCGTGGGTGGAAGACTTAACACAGATGCCATCGAAAGTCTTCGTGTCCAACTAAGCAAAGGAGGCAAAGAAACCGTGAAACTAGGAGAACTAGCTCAAGTCGTTCCTAAGGGAGGCCGCATGGTGACTCTACTGGCATCGGAAGAAGATGTAAGGCTTTTTTTTTTGTCCCTTTCGAACCGTAACCCGGATCCTTCCTTTGATCTCGCAATTGTCTTAATAGCTCTTTCTAACACGATTGACAGTACATTAAACCCATAACTTCGGCGGTTGTGTCTTCCGACCTATCCTTAACACCCCAACCAGACGCGCATAACTCTCTGCAACTGAATATACCAATCCCACCACCGACAAAAGAATCACGAGATCAGACAGTCAGTGTCGCGAAAGCGGCTATGGAAAAGGCCACAGCGGCAGTCCGCGACTCCAGAGGCTCCGTACACAGACGTCTTCAGGATATGCAGAAAAAGAAGATAGCTAGACCGGATGACGTTCGGAAGGCACAGGAACAGATGGAAAAGGTAACGGAGAAGGGGCAAAGGGAGGTGAGGGACCTTTTTGAGGCAGCAAAGAAGGCGATGGAGAGGGCATAACCAGACGTGTTGGCCTTAAAAAGCTGTTCTGTGAATCATTGTAATTGTTAGATATCAAATCGTGCTACGGTTCATGCCGACGCCGCTACTTGCAAAGTGACTCCAGTAGCTGACGTACAGTATGAATAGTTCGGCATATGTAACCAGTATATTGGGATGAACAATGAAATACCAATGCTAATGTACAATGACTTCTCAGAAGTGTTTAGGCTCGCCTCACGGGGCGAGCCGACGACAGGAGTGATTCAACTTTTGCAACAAATTGTGAGCTCTTACTGGCCGCTTGGTAAGACTCATTATTTCTGAGATTCTTCTTCACTTCACTGAGAACAGGCGACGCAGCTTCTTCAGTACTGAGTTTGGGATAGGTTCCTTGGATGAAGGACTGCACTAAAGACTTCCTGTCCTCTAGACTCATCGGAATGAAACCAACATCCTCGGGCTCTACTAAATCGCCTTTCCGCTGCGAGTAGTCGTCTGCACGCTGTTGGGAAAGTTTCTTCGCCTCTGCTATAGCCTGTGCCTTTTCCTCCTCGTTCAGAAATTGAACAAATTGTCCCCTGAAGAGGCGCATGCCCAGATCATAAGGAGGGTTATAGCCATTTGGAAAGCGGTCACTTAGAAAAGATAGCTTTTCAACAACCTCGGCAGTATTGGCAATCGTACCCGTTGGAAAAGAAGGCCAAGTTTCCTTCAGATTAGAGAAGTCAGGAGCCTGAGGTTTGTAGAGGCTTGGCGTTGGCCTTGATTTCTCTGCGAGTTCGCGATATACATTCTCGATCTGAGAGATATCACTTTCTTCCATATCCGTATTTTTCGAACGTTGAGGCCGCCCACCTTTTCGTGATTTAAGGGCTGACTTCGTTGGGGGTCTCGGCCTCCGAGCGCGAATGGATGGTCCCTTACGGGGGCCTCGCAACGAGGTACTCCTAAGAACGTTTGTAGATTGGCCATTGGCTGAAGGGGCCGCGAGAGACCTTGCGTCGAAAACGCGTCGAGGACGAGGTTTGTCAGAATCGGATTTTCTAGAGTTCAAATTGGCTGGTGGAAGGCTGGTCTTCCTTGGAGGGGCGCGAGAATACGAGGCCGCCGAGGGAAGAGATCGAACTTTAGGAGCATCGTTGCCTACAAGAGTCAGGTGAAGATAGACACAACTGAGATGGCGATGATCTTGTGGCCTTACCGGATTGGCTGGCGTCTTTTGCTCGTCCTTGAATGGCCGAGAATTGGCGAATTGGATAAAACCATCCTTCTACCAGTTTTACACGCTCATAGCGGATAAATTTGGTTCGAAGTTGAAGCATCTTCAACGCCAACGAGCTATATGGACGTTGGGCTGAAGTTAGTAGTACAATGAGTGTAACAAAAATGTTCGCGGTCTTCCCGAAGTACGAAATTGGTCACGTGGAGTCCGTGTTCGTTAAACCCGGTGTGGCTTCCTCCCCAGGACTTGAGCTGAGTAAACATTTTTGTTTTTAACTAGAATCACTTAGGCTGACACCTGTCTATATCGATCATGCTTCGCCGCAAGCCCACAGCAATAGCAATAACGTCTGAAGACCTCGCGACGTTTGAGGACGCGCGACTTCGCAAACTAGCCCAGGAGAATAAAGGCCACGGTCACACCAAAAACGGTTTCAATTTTGATCCCAGTGATGAGCTGAAACCTTTACCAGGCGATAAGGCAAGAATTGTCCGGTCGCGGGAGGAGAGGATAGGATTAAGTCGACGCACTTGAGCTGGCAAGTTGTGGTGGGTCATCGAATAACCCAACAGCAGTCAGATTCGGGGCATGGCTTATTGTCTTCTTTTCGCATATCTTTGCAGATCTTTCTCCCGGCTCCATGGAAATGGTCAAGTTGTCTTCGTTCTCCACGGTCCCAATCAATGCATGCCTTCGTCATTTTACGGATGTACGTATGTTTCACTTGAATATATGCATGGTATTCTTATGATGAAATAACATAGGAGTGGGCAATGACATCTGCAGCTGTTGTACATGTCTTTTACCCTATAACTGTCAGTTACATCAGGAGCTGGAGGGTTCGCAAATAGAATTGGCTTAACTGTAACCCAGGCTATTTAAGGGCGAAAATTATTTATTTATCTTCTATATTTCTTCTATGTTTCCTGGAATTCTAACTGTATAACTCTATAAACAAGCAATGGACACTCTTGTGTATACCACTTTAACAGTGATATCTTGTGCAGCGAGGTGTATTTTGCTGTGTTAACTTCTACACACAAGTCCACCTCATACCCAAACATAAAATATAATAGAGATATATATTCCTGAAGACTGCATCTATGACAACTAGAGAGTACATTCATGAGTTCACGCTGCAGGTGTTGAAGCTCTCGCTAACAAGCTTTGTGAAATAAATAAAGACAAGGGGTATTTTAGAACGAAGAGATCTATATCACAGGAGTCACCCATATAGCCACTTTCTCCAAGTAAAAGAAAAACCGAGTTAGTTCTCAGTGTCTATCTGTGCATATACTAAGGTTCAACGTGCCCGCTTCTGAGTGTGCTCTGTACCTATATCGACGGAATAATTCCAGCGTCGCTTCAAGCCATTAGGATCATAAACACTGGCAACACTCTGTTGCCAGTCACGCGCCGTAAAGAGCACTTGCTGTCCATTATATTGAGGTGGTGAGATAGCCTGAGGGGGGGTGACTGGCGTAACCTTGGTTGTTTGTCCATACTGAATAGGGTATTGACCTGCCAAAGACGCTTGAACCCCCTGTGCTGCATGATCCATAGACATTGTGGGAGAGTTCGTATTCATTGTGGATGGCGCCATGGAGAATGCCATGTCCCACTGGCTAGATAGGAAGCGTCAGCAAGAGTTTGAAAGAATATACATTTTTAATAAGTTTGCTTACGTAATGATACGGGTCGGGTCCCAGCTATTCTCGTCAACGAGAGGCGCATTCAATGATTGACTCGAGACTGGCTGGGGAGGCATCATCCCTAGAGAATGGAGCTGGGAGCAATCGGACTTTGAATCTTCAGTACTAGCTGATATCGGTGGGGTGATTGGATAAGGGTTGTAACCCACCCGACCCCGGACGCCACCAGAAACCTGACTTACATGAGGTTGGTATTGTGAGTCGAGAGGCGACGGGCTCGGATGGTATGGCTCTGAAGGACTTCCATAAGGAAATGTAGGCTTAAGCTCGAAGGGCCTATGCACGTCGGCGGAGAATGCCAGCCGCAAGGAATCGATCTGTGCTTGCATTTCTGGCATTGGCCAGGCAGATGAACACCTCTCGAGGATGCGCATGTGTCGGGCAAAATAATCGCGCGCATCTGTGTGGAAGTTTGGGTCAGGAGAGGTTATCGCGACCTGCGATTTGCGTTAGCTATGTGATCATAGTGGGGTGGGAACACAAACGCACCAAATGCAACATTGTGCAAGTCATAATGCAGTAAATAGCAAAATTTATACCTCTTTGCATGGAGAGCAGACCTGGGAGGCCAAAGCGCTGTAGGATAGCTTCTTGAAGTCTACACAAATATTTAGCTGAAGAGTAACACAAAGCCATATGCATTTTCCACCCCCCGTCCGCGGCAAATGATTTAGATGCAAGCAACTGAGGCCGGTGAAGTAGAATAATGCCTAAATGGCAATGGGAATGCATATTAGCCACAAAGTGGGACGGTATCCATGGGGGTGAGCCGTCAGGAGGATAGCTAATCTGTAGATCTGAAGGAAGACCTTGAAGCCAATCAGTAAAGAGAGGATTCTTCTCAACAAACTTTGGATTGGCACCCCAGTCCTTTTGCTTTTTGATCTTGTGGTATATATCAGTGATAATACGGATGTGATGAGCGTTCTGGATAAAGTAGGCATATTGTCTAGATCGATCGATTTCAAACTGGTCAAGATCTTTAATGTCCAGTGCAGGATCCATACAAACGGTGTCGGGAGTTACACCGTAGTCCGATCGGCCTTTGAATGTTAGTACTAATAGTAGTGCCAATACTAGCAACATACCTTGCGGTGCACCAATCATTACTTCAACAACCAGGAGAGCTTGCCACACTCTTGTCTGTACCAAACACTCTATGGGGTTGAGATCACAGTGTCTGTGTTCTGCATGTGTGCTATAGTGTTCGTCAATTTCTAAATCTTTAGCCATTGAAACAATTGTTTTCACAGTCTGCCATGAGCGGTAGTAATAGCCTTTCTTTGGTACGGATTCTCGAGCTTTCAAAAGTAGAAGCAGTGCTTGGATTGTGCTCAGACGGGGTACATCCATAAAACTAGACTCGTGCCCTAAACGTAGCGAATAGTTAAAACTAGTATACTAAGGCAACATTACAATCGAAACCAAGGGAAAGGAGCGCGCATAGGTGAGGGGACCTACTATTCGCTAATGCAAGCCACTGTGCTCCCTGAGCTGGATCATCTGACTGTCTTCCCGCGCATGCAAACAACGCCTCCAGCAGAAGTGGAGAAATCGAATTCCGATCATATTGCCACTGGTAGTACAAGTGCGATCGATGCACCACAGGGACATAAGGGTGTATATCGTCAAAATAAATCTTGAAGTAGTTCGTGACCTCTTCATCGGATGGCATAAGCTCCGGGGGAATACGAATTGTAGAGCCTGCCCCAGTACTGAGAGGAGGTAATGGCTCTTCTACATCATCTTGTATAGGGATTTCCGGTTCACCCTTTTCTTTCTTTTGCTGCCTAATATAGGGCGCTATCTGCTGTGTTAGCGGACATTCCTAGATCAGAAATTGGTATTGAACCATACCTATACCAGTCTCATCTATTTTGAGTTCACCAAGAACCTCGCTAAGATCCTCAGCAGTGGACTGTTCGTGATCGCCATATACTCCGCTCTCTATAGTTCCCAAGCTCTCTGCCTGAGAGGGAAAAATCTGCTGTTGCTGGTAGGTATGATGTGAGACAGCTATAGCAGGTGACCCTACTTCATACATTCCCGGCTGGTGGGAAGCAGAATGGGTGAACTGGGGGAACATTCCCATCCCGTCGTTATAGGGAGGTATACCGCCCACTGCAGCTTGGCTGCTGTCTCTGTAACCCTGGGGCATGGAAAAGGACGAGAACGATTCCGTTGTATTCGATGCACCGATGGTATCCGTCGAATTGGCTTCAACACCCTGCCCCGTGGGGAACTCGTTGTCATGTCCAACAGTAGGAGGTACACATACTAACTTAAGACGTGTACAGGCCGAGCAAGGCCATGTATTTGTTGTAGCAGCGTCGCACTTGATCTTACGCTTTCTGCAGCCATTACACGCTCGCATCACTAAATAGACATTTTAGTGAATAGGAATTTAACGTTGAGTAGGAGGGTGACATACCCTTGAGTCTTTTATGTCTGTTGTGTTCGTCAACGAATACATAGTCTGTTGATTAAAGCTTATCAGTGACTGGCTCCAACCGAACTTTGCGCTTCATCTATATATAGAGTAACACTGATGCCTTACTTTTGTGGCCTTCTCTTGGGGGCCCTGTCGGCGGCGTGAATGAATAGCCCTGCATTTCCAAATCGGAATTATAGAAACGAAGAGCGATTCTCACCACAAAGTTCAGGTGACTCAATAGGGATAATAATAATGCTTGACAATTTATCTTCAAGGCCTGCCTTGTCTAGATAAATCCGAACACACACACACACACACACACACACACACACAGAGAGAGAGAGAGAGGCGCGCGGCGGGGGGGGGAGGGGGGGAAGGAGAGAGACAAAAATGGAGGAAGGGAGGGAGCACAAATCGACAGGTTAAAGAGAGAGCTAAAATGAAGAATACTGGACACGTTTAACAACCTGGGGCAAGGTATGATGCAGGGTATATGGTGAATTCTGTCTCCCGATGTGTCGTCACTTATAATAATGCGCTTTTGCTTCTCCTCCGGGCGCAAAACGCCGAGGCAATTGGTGTCGGCTTGCAGTATAGGAGCTATAAGGCGACGAAGACGCGCGAAAGGAATACTTGGAGAAGAAAACTAGACCACAATGCTCCGTGATAATGGTTGCTTTCCCTCTCGCAATAGTTTGACGTTTTGGTTTCAATCTTATGTTTCCGCAACAGCGACAAATGTTCTGGCTTGCTACCGCAGATAAAGCAGCAAAGAAGCGATTTTTTGAAGATTCAAGGGTCTGGGAAACTTGCGGCGTGACAATCGTGATAAGATTGCCTACGGTTTTGATCAGGCGAAACTGATGACAACAATCCAGTGTGAGATCGAATGGACAATAGTCGATTCATTCGCGAAAAGCGCAAAGTCTTAGAAGAGAACCTGGCCTTACACTGTGAAATGTCAGCCGAGCTTTGGGGTTATGGTGCGGGGATACGGAGGGGAAGCAGGCAATGAGGGAGTGATTAGGAAGTGAAATAACGCTTCAACGTGTCAGCAAGCGATGGCACAGCAGTTCCTTAGCAACAAATTGGTGAAAGGTCTGCCGATAGGTAGTGATATCGAGCGTGGTAGCAATGAAACGAGCCGAAGGAGACGGCCGTCCAAGTTGAGAATACCTTACAATAGAAAGACTGGAAGCTTAACCAGCCTGCATCGTGACTTGACACCGTCAGTGTATTGAGACTCTCTGTTGGGGTTTGCTGTAGAAAAGCGAACTGAGCCGGCGCATCACCCCCCGATTTACAGTCAGCATTTGAATGAACTGTGCGGACCTCGGGCTACTGTGCGGGAAACACTAGAAGGGAAGAACACAGAAAAGGCCACCAAGGCTGCCAGAAGCTGGTGGTCCAAAACTTGACACTGGAGGGCGCGATACAATCTAGCATCAGGGGAATCAGAAGCCCACCAATACGATGAATTTCGCATGCCGCGTCGCCGATGTTACGTCCCTGATTAACTGATAGATGCCTGGCGTCTCATAGTAGCCAGATAGTATGATATACACAGGTCCAAAATATCGAACAATGATGGAAAAGGGCAGTGGCGAAACCAACCACAATAATAGAAGAGTGGATAAAGACGATCAGCCCTCAAGGAAGAAGTGGGTGGGAGTAAAAGAGTCAACCAGCCTAGGCGCAGGTGAGGAGAGGATCGCCTCGGATGTTGAGGGGCCGCATGATTGCCGCTCTTCAGTACTTTACTGTACTAGTAGCGACCGAGAGTGCCAAGAACCATGATGATGCCCTGCCAAGTTTCCATGACTCGTTGATTCATTCTATGGAGAGTGCTCCGTACAGAGTAAGTTGCATGCTAGTCTATCACTAGTAAAGCCTACTAGTGCTCAGGTTACATCTTTTACTCTACGCTAATTTATTTAATAATCACTTTTGCTCAACAATTGCATACTATAATGATAGTATAGCATTCTGGAGCACGATGAATATCTGCGAGCGTATAGTGTAGATGTGACTAGCTGTAGGATTTAGATATCTGGTCGGACTCTTCAAGCTTGGGAAGAAGTTCCTTATCTCTAAAATGAAGATATACCTCACACTTGAGTTCTTGATGCTCTCTCTTTATATATATATATATATATATACCTTGCTTTTAGTGCTAATGTGTAGCTTTTAGAAAATCCAATGTCCTAGTCTCCCTAGGCACTCCCCAGGCTTGGGTTAGTATGTTGTGTCAATAAGATAGGGGCTACGATATGCAAGTCCGGTCCTTTCTTGGCTAGGATCATGATCCCATATGAGCCATATTAATGGTTGGCGGGAATAATATTACTATAGGTTTCTGGCAGTGACACCGGTGGTTATCCGATCGATCAGGCAGTGCCTAGGTACTGTACATGCAACACCACCATCCAGCACCAATTCATGAAAGTGACTTATAAAAGCACTCTCCTCGATATCCCGACTATAATCGTACAAGCTTCGCGGCATATACATACCATCACAGGGAGTTTAACAACATCACTCGCGCTACTTGTCTTATTCCTTGATGTAGGTTGGTTAATAAAATTCACTCTCGACCTTAAAAAGGCCATAATCTTACCCCTATCAGTATGAGCAAGAGCACTAAAGGTAGAAGGATATGTTTTTCAACGCACAAAGAGACATAAACAACTGTCCATGATAAGGAACAACTTTAGATTCTATCAGATGCCTGAGAAATGGGTTTAGGATGTTTTATATCAAGCTCGTACGCTGGATTCATACAGTTTAGATTCTATGAAGGGAAAATAATTTTTCCACATGGCCGTTCCCATCCCCTTAGTAAATTTACCCCTCGTCTAAAAAACATACATTTGTATCCTAGACTGATTTCCCACCCCGCAAACAAAGACCGTCGGCTGCTTGTTGACCCACAAAATGGCATCAGAAATGCAGAACTCGAATCCTACAATATTGAATGCTGCTGATCTTCCAACACGCTTGCGACCTGCACTGTCTCGCAAGGCTGGGACCTTTTGGAATGATCTCTTTATATCCGCACTTCCCTCTGTGTATGCGAGTGAATTTCTCCCAGAGAGCTTTATTTCATCTTCAGAGTCAGAGGGTGATGATGATGATCTGTTGGAAGAGCCGATAGATGAACAAGAAATCTACGGTAAGGCGTGGCTGCTTGTCAAAGAAATGTCAAACAAAACAACTTATTAATCACTAGATCTCGTGTCAACTATATCTGATCCGGAGCATCCGATATCGTTGGGAGCTTTAGCAGTTGTGTCTCTTCCTGATATATCTATTACCCCAACACTCCCATATGTACCAGCGTCGCCCCTTCGAACAGTTACTGTCCTCATCACCCCTACTATCACCCACTGTAGCCTCGCCACAGTCATAGGTCTCGGTGTACGTGTTCGGCTTGAGCAGTCTCTTCCTCCACGGTTTCGTGTGGATGTGCGAATCAAAGAAGGGACACACAGCACTGCTGATGAAGTGAACAAGCAGTTGGCGGACAAAGAACGAGTGGCCGCTGCCCTGGAAAACGGAACACTAATGGGCGTTATCGCGAAGATGCTAGAGACATGCCAGTGAACTTGAACTATCTGGCAGGCTAAAAAGTAGCGCTCTTGTCACGCTCATAGTATATATCACTTGGTGTTGTTTTCATAAAAACACTCGGTCATCTTTTATTCCATCCAATTAATATAACTACATGGAATTTATGGTATACCACTGAACCCCAGAGATAAACAGGTCATGAGTCCAAAACGCCACTTTCCTTCAGGCCTCTCCAGAGTTCGGGTTCCAAGAACTTGCTTACGGTGACATCCTCCGCCAAGCCTTTTCGTCTTCTTGTCTTTAGCACGAAATCTCGAGCAGTGGCCATTGCAGGGGCCATCTCTAGTGGTTTTATCTTGACATCACGATCCAGCGGGTCCCCTGGAACGACACTCCATTTGTCGAAGACAAGACTAACTGCAGCTTGACCTTGTGTGTGAATCCGAAGATCTGTCTCGAACCCAAATGAGTCTATCACTGGAATTAGGCCACGAACTGAATAAAGCGGTGTTCCGGCGATGGGCCCATCAGAGAGGACATGTCCTCTCCTGCGCGCAAGGACAGTATACACCGAAGCGACGGCATCCGCAGGCCCTGTCATCGTGCAGGAATAGATGGGTTCCATCAAGCGAGGAGATGCCATGAGAAACGATGAATAAATTGCGCGTCGCGCAGTGGGAATGATTTGACCACCACCTCTGTAGATAACCTGGTCGGCAAGGGAAACGTCTGTGAGCCTGAATTTCGTGTTTCGAATTGCTATAGCCAATTAGCACAAAAAATACTGGAATTGATAGATATATTTCAAGCTTGGTGGCGTGTTGCTTCGGGTTGAATGGGATTAAGAGATTGGTTAACTTACGCTCTTCACAAAGTGGACCTTCCCTAGTACCCCAGCTAAAACCTTGAGTGATAGAGTCTCTGACGCTTCCGAGAAGCTTCTTATCAACCTGGGATGGCAATGTATCATCTTGTAATATGTTAGGTCCTAGTTCATCTGGGCCGAAGGCCCAAATGCTTCTAGCTGCTAGTTTATCCCAGTCGTACTTGTCTTCGAAAAAACGTGCCACTTTGCGAATTGGGTCTTTGATGCTGACCTTGCCACTCTCAATGTCCTCTGCGATCCCGTCGTCCAAAGGTTCTGCAATCATGGTTATCTTGTTCTTTTTGTTTGGCGTGATAGAATAACACATGATGGCTGAAGTCTCAACAGCAGTTTCACAGAAGCGGGTGACAGGATCCGAGACCTTGATCTCCATCTCGGAGAAGAGCCGTCGCAAGTCATGAAGTACGCAGTCCATATAAAGCTCACCGGTTCCCAAGATGACATGCTCCCCAGACTCCTCAACTTTGGTTGAAATTAGAGGATAGCTCTTATTGACTTTACGGAGACCATCAAGCATTTTTGGCAATTCAGACGGGTTAACAGGCTCAACAGCGACCTTGAAAACAGACTCTGTCATATGTCGAATTGGTTTAAATATGTATGCTTCTTCGTCATCCTCAAGTTTCAGAGGCACAACTGTCGCTGTCTTCACGATTGAATTGTCCACGCCACCCAAGAGAACCAAGTTTCCGGCCGGAACACCGCTGGTCATGATGTTATAGCCAGTCTCGGCAATCCAAGTGTCCGAGATAGTTGCAGTCACCATATCTTCTTCGTCTTCAGGTGTATAACCCTCACCTAGCACTCGAACTTGTTGCCCGGGATGAGCAGTCCCGCTCATAATTCTTCCAAATGCATTGAAACTTGAAGCGTCCGTGCTCGTGAAGAGTTTCGTGATATGGACAATGAGAGGGCCATCTGCATTACATGTAGTCATAGCAGCTGCCAGTTTCGAATCGAGGGGACCAGTGTAGTACCGGTCCAGCTTTATCTGCGCACCTTCAACTGGAGAAGGTACATGCTGTACTATCATGTCTACGAATCCTGTAGCAGGACCGAAGAACTGTCCGGAAACCAGTTTAAGTAGCTCCTTTGCGTCTGATTTCATTTGAGATGGTTTCAAGTGGATGCCGACATTTGCGAGTGTTTGTTTCAGGTCTTCTGGACTCTCACTTATGGCGTGGGAATAGAGCTTGTATATTGGCTCAAGAACAAATTTGACAAAAGTTCTCTTAGAATTTTCTTCAGTCCCTTTCCGCGTGAATTTCCGGCTTGTTGGGTTGAAAAAGATATCGCCCCAAAGACGTAGGGCAAAATCCGAAGTCTCAATTTGAGGGTAGGTCTCGGCATACATCCTGGCAAATGATTGAAGGGTGAAGCACCATCCCATTGAAGCGCACGCAAACGCGACATTGCCCTTTTCTGGGCTTAGTCGCCATCTCTCGCCTTGTCCAGGCAAGACACTTTCAATGACAGTGTTGACTTCTTCAATCACGTGTTTGAGCTTGAAATACGCGTCGTTGGGTGGTATCTTCAGTTCGAGGATCAGCCGATCCATTTTGTTAACAACCATGGTTAACGGAAGGCCCTCTAGCACAGCGTGCCGGATGATTTGCTCAGTATTCGACTGCACGCCTTCCACAATATCAACGACTATCACCACGCCATCAACCAGTCGCGATGAGGCAGCAACTTCATCCACAAAATTCACATGCCCCGGGGTATCAAGAATGTTGAACAAATGAGACTTCCCCTTGGTGCCCTGAAGAACTAAGCTCATGGGAGCTGATTTAATAGAAAGGCCTCGCTCTCTCTCTAGAAAGTGAATATCGGTATAGCGAAGCTGTACTTCCTTTCTTTTACCTGCTCGCTTTTCTAGCCGTTCAGTCAAATCATGCGTCTGCATTACAAGCATATCCATGAACGCGGTCTTCCCATGATGTAAATGACCGACAAGCGCAATATTTCTTATTTGATCAGGGTAATTCAGAAGATCAGTCATGAACTCCCTGGAAAAGTGAACCGGAGGGAGCTCAGTCTCTTCAATGGCGAACTTCTTTTGCTGTATGGGGGCAACGATAGGCTCGGAGAGAGGTTGAGTATCTTCTTCTTGAACTAATGCCTCTACCTCTGTCCCGTAGACTTGTTGTGCGCTAGGATAGTATTGTTTGTCTTCGTGTAGAATGACGGCATTTGACGGACCTTCTGTAATGATATATATCAGCACCGGCCAAATTCAGGGACTTTAAGAGAGTGCCCACCGTCCACCTCCATGGGCTGCTGCCCATATACTTCTTCATCTTCCTCCTCCCCAAATGCTTCGTCGAAGGCGAAAGCCTGAGGCTTCACTTCATCGTGTGGTCCTCCTTCATCTGAATCTGCAGCCTCTCCAATATAGTTGCCAAACCTGTGTTGTCTTAATTAGAATCCACACAATAAGAGCATTAAATTTGATACAACTTACTCATCGTAGAGATCATCCATTGTGTTGTGGGGAAGATGGTTCAAGCTGCCAAAAACCTGTCACCCGTGAGCCATCGCATCTCTTTTTGTTCCAAGCTGCTGAAGTCCGTCCAATGGACTGAGTGGTCCGTGCACCAATCTTACCATTTTGGTAGCCCCGCCGCGCGGATTCCGCGTCCAGGGAGGGGTCCTTAAAAGGACTTGATTTCTCTCACCACTTGTTCAGATACCTCACTGCCATCGTTGGCTGGAGAAATTACTTCTTTCTTTTCCCCTTCCCTCCCCCGTTTATCCCCATCAATCTTCTTTATTGCTGGCAGGTTCTATCAACCCGGGTACTCTTCACCACGCACTCAACCCCTTTAAACGACTCACCCTACATAAGCTTTTCGTTTAAAGGTCTTCTAATCAGCTCTCGCAGGCCGATATGTCTTCTCTTCCGCCAGTCTATATTGTTTCCTCTGCTCGTACTCCAGTGGGCTCTTTCTTGGGGTGAGGGTGGCCTTGTGCTTTGTCTATACCTACAACATTGACTTACGCTGGCTATCCGCTTCTACAGCTCGCTCTCAAGTCTCACTGCCCCGCAGCTTGGCTCCCATGCTATCAAAGGTATGACAGCTCTGGGGTAGTGGTACATGTCGATGTTCTAACAAACTCAAAATCCAGCTGCGCTCAGCAAGGTGGATGGAATCCAGCCATCTGATGTTCAGGAGGTCTTCTTTGGCAATGTCATCTCCGCAAAGTGAGTCAACATCTACCCCCTTATATCGTGCAACCAACATTAAAGGCACACTTACATTCTCGTTCTATGGATTAGCGTTGGACAAAATCCTGCCAGACAGTGTGCTCTCGGCGCAGGTCTCAATGAATCAACTGTGTGTACTACGGTCAATAAGGTGTGCGCGTCTGGCTTGAAGGCAGTTATTCTCGGTGCGCAGACCATCATGACTGGCAATGCGGATATTGTCGTAGCAGGCGGTGCTGAGTCCATGTCTAACGCCCCTCATTACCTTCCAAACCTTCGCACCGGTGCAAAATACGGCAACCAGAGTCTGGTGGACGGCATTATGAAGGATGGCTTGACAGACGCAGGAAAGCAGGAACTCATGGGCTTGCAGGCCGAGGAGTGTGCTCAGGATCATGGCTTTAACAGGGAACAACAGGATGATTATGCCATTCGCACTTACGAAAAAGCACAGGCGGCTCAAAAGGCTGGACTTTTTGACGAAGAAATTGCGCCTATTGAACTTCCCGGTTTTAGGGGCAAGCCAGGTGTAATTGTAGCACAAGACGAAGAGCCAAAGAATGTGAGGAAGATATTACTCTACAGATTTGATCAATCGTGGGCCACCGCTAATTCATTGCGTAGCTCAACCCGGATAAGCTTCGAGCTATCAAGCCTGCATTTATCCCCGGATCCGGCACGGTGACAGCCCCGAATTCCTCACCTCTCAACGATGGAGCTGCAGCTGTTATCCTCGTCTCAGAAGCTAAACTGAAAGAGCTTAGTTTGAAGCCTGTGGCGAAGATTCTTGGCTGGGGAGATGCCGCCCAGCAGCCGAGCAAATTCACTACTGCCCCAGCACTAGCAATTCCCAAGGCCCTCGGCCATGCAGGTGTGGCTCAGGATGCTGTTGATGCGTTCGAGATTAACGAAGCGTTCAGCGTAGTTGCTCTGGCAAATATGAAACTCCTGGGGTTGGCTGAAGAAAAGGTCAATGTCCATGGTGGTGCGGTAGCTATCGGCCATCCCATCGGCGCCAGCGGTGCTCGTATCTTGACTACATTGCTCGGTGTATTGAAAGCGAGAAAGGGTAAGATTGGTTGTGCCGGGATTTGCAATGGAGGAGGTGGTGCTAGCGCCATTGTTGTCGAGTCTCTCGTCTGAGTCATGACGAGTTGCCTTTGATCTTGGTATGGAATATAGGCATACTCAGACTAGTGGCATATGAAGGAAAACCTTGAGTACATAGACATCCTTTAATTGCTACCGTCTGCTATGTGGGGCGAAGCATCATTAATGTAATTTAATGCTGGAAGCTCTGTTCGAAAGTAATGAACTTGTTCTGCCAAAAGACGCTGCGTTTAGAGGTTGTATAACAAGCTTAGTGATCTGTGTAGTGACTCTTGTAAGTTCACAGTTCAGGTAGGTTGTTAAGTAGTTATTTATGGAACACCAAAAATACCTTATGTAAGCTTGAGAAATGGTGGATATTGAGTTATACTGCTCATTTCGAGACTCCTAACGGGCTGGATTGATTACTCCGGAGCATACTACGGTGGATATACTGTGTCTGTAAACCACTAAACTATATATATGATAGCTACAATGGTAGGCTTGACATTGAAACGATGGTAACATTTACTTACCCGTGTCCCCAACTCCGGGGGGATATTTTGTCTCCTGAATATGTTCATTCACTCTCCAAACCACTTTACCATAACGCTCTTCACCTTAATGAAGACAAAGGGCCGAAGACCGAGCGAAATATAGAGATAAAGCATTGAACATGCAATGCATATAATATAAGCAAGTCAAGAGCTACAGCACTTGTAGTCCAACACAAGAAGGTTGCAAAGGATATCATATAGAGCATTAGGTATACATACAAGCTTTCAAATTTACGCAAACACAGCATGATGAAAGCAGACTGGGATTATGCATTTCCTAGGCAAATGCACCAACTAACGCCATTAACAAAGCTCCACAGGCAACTGCTATACATGCTTCAACACGCTTTCGCCCTTGTAAGGTTGCGTAACTTGACTCACTCAAAAAGTCTTCGGCCAAAAGCTCAACCAGCCCAGCGAACAGCAGAAGACCACTGCTTATCGCATTCGTAATACCAACCATGAGCAGACCTGTAGTGCTCGTTGGATCATATAGGTTATGTAAAATAAGACCGATGGCTTGGCCAATGGGAGTTGTCGTCCCATATGCAAGTGACATGAGCCATGGCTTCATGGAAGATGGGGCAAAAAGGTCGGGAATAAGTGATGCAATACGTGAGCCAAGAGCGAAACCCTCAAAAGTCTGATGAAAACAGATGGCCACAAGTAGTACAACGAATGACGTCCCTGTTGCAACACTAAGTGCCATGCCAATAAAAATACTATGAAAGAGAATTCCGGCTTCGAGAAGAAGACACTGAAGCAACTGACGTTGCGGATTCTGTATAGACAACATAGTGTCCGGCTGTCCACGCGTTATAGCCGGCGAAGGCCGACCCAATTCGGACTGCGAGTAAGGGCTTCGATGAGCAATCATATGCGAGTCATCATAAGAGTCTGGTCCCTCAAGATCAACCTCCACGTCCTCTTTGCGCGCAATCAAACTTGCGGATTGTGATTGACTGCCGTCGTCCGTCGAGTCACTCAGCAAGTGGCCTGAGGATTGCGGCAGGCTACTTGTACAGTTGCCGTCCGGCATGCCCTCAAGGTGAATATTCTCTGTTGACTCTTGTAGGTATTCAGGCTCCTCATTCTGATAGTTGCTTGCAGTGTCCCCACCGACATTACTAATCAAATGATCGTACTCACTCCCATGAACATGGCCTGCTCCTTTCATGGCAAAAAACATCTCTACCACCACCACAACAAAGACGGAAACCATGGCGACAAAACCAGCCATGGCACGGTAGGATTCACTCCAGAATCGAGGAAGACATGGATCTGTCAGGGACACAAACGCCGTAGGGAGTAAATGGACGAAGGCCGTAGCTATCAATACGCCTGTCCCAAAATGCCTGGAAAGGAAAAGAAAGCGCCGTGGTATTGGCAGACGTGGGAACCGACGGGCAAGTACGGGAAATGAACAAGCTTCGTGGCGTGAGTTAGAGAGCATTCAGTCGCAGTGGAGTTGATGATGAGCATACCGAAGGTACTCAGTACTAGAATGAGGAAAAGTGCCATTACATGCACTGGAGTGTTGTAAACCCCTCGATCCTTCGAGCCACACAATGGCTTATCATTGTCAGAGTCTCTGATCCCACTTCTTCGGTGTAGTTCCGCCCGCAGAACTGCCTCAGGTATATATGCACTCAATTCAAGAGCGCTGTCGAGGTCTATAAGAGTTCCGGATCAGTGAAGGTGGTTCTTCAAGTGAGGCTTCCAATCACGAAGGTAGTAAGCGCATTTCGAATGGTTGTTGATCGTGATTCTCTGAAACTCACTATATTTTTCGAAGTCATTCCGCTGCCACCTTGTGAGCCCGTTCATTTTCGTGTAGACCTTGTGTAATCTTGGATTGTAATCAGATCCATGACCTAGGACAAGCTTTGGAATTTCCGGCTAAAGCCCGATTTTTGGAGGGTTGCCGCTCTCCGACTAACCATACAGTTTAGGATATTGGAACTGGATATTAAGTAATAATAAGGAATATTCTATGTCTCACAATAAGTTTGTAGTATGTAGAGGTTTGTGCCGTTGACGGGGCTCCCACGCTGGGGAGAAGGACATTTGTAACTCGGAAAGGCTGTGAAGATAAAAATGAACACGCGTTAGATTAGTTTCACATTATCTTATCGATCAATTTTCTATTGCTTAGTAACACTGGAGCACATTGTCACTAACTAGTTACCGTGTCTACAAGGTCATCGCACCTCCCCTGCGAGGTGAGATGACCTATATCCCCCAAGCACGTGACTGCCAAGACAATTAATAAGCCCCAAGTGTCAGATCAGATTGTAAAGAAATTGTAATACAATTTCTTTATTTTATTATTTACTACTATAATTCTAAGTACTTTCTAAGTACTTAGAAAGTATTTTAATATTTTTTAAAATATTTTATAAATATCAAAATCTTTCTTACTTATATAGATTTAAATAAATTAAAATATAAGATTAATAATTATTAATTATATAAAAAATAGAAATAAATATACTAAAAATTTTAAATATATAAATACTTATTAAGTACTTAGAAGGTACTTAAAATTAAAGTAGTAAATAATACTATAAAGAAATTATATTTTTGTGGTAATAGATTATACAGCTGGAAACTTTTGTATTTTGTTACTGACAATCACGGGACTAAAATCTGATTATTAAGCGCTTCAAGGGTGGCGCCACCTAGAAGTAGGGTCTAGCTGACCTGCAACCACCTAGTGACCATTCAATCCAAGTTGTTCCGATGTAACTTACTCCCCTATAGTACCTAAAATACACTGTGTTTATAGTACATCTAAACGGGGAATATTGAAGCAAAAAAATAAATAATATGTGTGATTGCATTGCTGGAAAGCGATACCTTACTCCGAAGTATGCTAGGTATGAAGATATATTGTATGTGGCATTACTACCTGTTTCTAAGCTTAGTCCAACCACTTGTCCCTTTAAGCCGATTAGACTTTATAGGCTCATTTGGAGAAGCTGGCCCAGCACGATTGTTTTCCGATGGATCCATGTTTGGTATATCTGATTCACCCTTCTCGCCTTCCCGATTGACTGAGGATTCATGAACAGATTGTAGTGGCGCCTCAGGTATATTATCCCATTCCTTCTTCTCCAGAACTTCCCATTCCGCACTGGCCATTTCACCTAATAAGCTTGACTTTAATTTGTCTGCAACTTTCGTTGGAGTTGGAAGCCGCCATGTACGCGTGAACTCCGTACCCTCCGAAGCAGCGAGGAAAGAATGCACAGTACCATGGGAGTAATGACCTAGTATCGGGAATGACTTTGTCCGCTGGATGATTGTTTTGGGAGGGTCTTTTGTGATCTTCACCTTGGATTGTACGTCTCGACCGGCGAACGCTCTAACGAGCGTTGATGTTTGTGCGGGAGGTGCAACAAGGAGCTGCCACATATGTTTTCCAATACTACAGATCTCCTCCCAAGAATCTGACGTTATGTGGAGCCCCTGAGTCCGACAAAGCCAGGAAATATTCCAAGCCAGCAGCGTCGCCCCCTCTATAAAGAGAGCGTACGTACCAGGATCCTCCTTGGCTAGTTTTGGGAGACTTCTGTCAATGGAGAGTGGTCGGGGTCGGGGTAAGCAAGACCGCGGGTCCGCTGTTCGTGATGATGTTGAATTAGAAGGCGAGGGCTGCAACGTACTTGCTACGGGCAACATTTCACGCAAGAGATAAGACCCAGAGGGTGCGTATATGGTAGGCGCAGGATAATTCCGGTGAGGAAGTGTGATCTGTGCAGGAAGCCTTAGGGACAAGTAATGTGAAACAAGTACTAGGAGTTGAGCAATGTAGGAGAATGACGTTGAGATTTGCGACGGTGTAGCACCTGTTTTCCATTAATATTTGCTTAGTAACTAACGAAGTAGAGGTCGTAACTTTCCATTCATGTCCCTAAGATCTATGATAGGTATTCCACCAACTGTATATGTCTCTTTAACTTTACCATCTTTCTTTTTGACTTTCTGCCGTAGGTTATAAAGGTAGGCAGCTTCACGACATAAAAATATCCGAGCTTCTGCCGTTTTACTGTGCAGTGAGTGCCACAGGTGGTCCGTTCTTTTGGCACTGTTATGAATGCCAGATAAAATGGCTGTTTCACGTTCTGCAAGTTGATACTTCGCAGATCCAGCATCCGAGCGACGTTGCGCTAGCGCAAGCTTGTGTTCGGAAATGTTGCGTTTTTTGTTCTTGATCTCTAGCCGTAAGCTCTCTGTCCGACTTTCAAGTAGCTTTATCCTCAAAGAGGATTTGGCTTTCTCATTGGCGATGGTTTGGATAGGCCAAGCGATGTGGTCATCATCCTCGAGACCGAGATATCTAGAGCCAGGCCGTTCCGAAAATTCTTCAAGAATACCTGTAGAGGACACTGCGTTATTAATCTGTTGTCCTAGGGACTCATTTTCTAGAAGAATCCTGGCATTTTCGATTCGGAGCTGATAGAGCTGATTGCGGGCACAAGAAGGGCAAAGATATTTAAGTCGTGATGTTGGAGCACGAGAGCATACGTGACAACTCATCCCAAGAGTACGAGTTTTGATCTGATATTATGTATGACGTTGGAAGTATGGAACTGCAAGGCGTTGGAGATTATCGGTGAGGCGGCCAGATGCGGCAGATTTACTCCGTATTGTGAGAGTGACACGATATCATTTCCCGCTTTGGTAATATTATCTAGTGGCCGGGCCCGCCTCGGACCACTCTTTGTCTTGATTGAATCCAACCTTTCAGCGAAGGAAAACAAAACGCTGCTGGTAGCGGTGATAAACATAAAGAAAAAACCACATATGTTATTATCGTATTACAGTTGTGTCTGTGTTATCGGCGATTTGTATCTAGGTACGTACTGGAGTACTTACCGTAATCGTGAATGTTGAGGCCGTTCTTTAATTGGTTACGACTGTCCACTCCCGCGCATTCGTCCACTTTCCGACTAACTTTGAAGTACTTGTTAATACCCGTTAGACTAGTAATACCCTTGAGCTCTTCCATGAGCTTATGTATTCTCTTTTGGAGATTTCTTTTAGGAAAGAGGCTAAATTCTTCAGCTATTGCACTCACTTCTGGTGTGGTAAATCAGCTCATATGTGAGCCCTTCCACTGAAAATGGAACCGGCGGATAAGAACGATTCTACTCAGTACTCACCACAATTGCTTCAACAAAAGCGGAGCATCAGTGTGTATGAAGTCCCGAGGAATTTGATCCCGTCACCCGAAAGCCTTAACAATTACGACTGGGAGCGTCTCCAGGAATATTACGCCAACGCCATGGAGAAACATGGAACAGCTGAAGAAGACTTGCGAGCTCAAATCTCAAAGCTGCTAGAGGTTTCTCTATCGTATCCCCTCCGTAAAGGCAACCTCTAATATTTTTGTCATTGTCATAGATTTTCATGGCGTGGTCTCAAACCACTGTTGTTCGTGATGAAGCTAGAGCGCTAAAGAGGTTCGATCGAAAGTACGAGGCTGTAGTGCGATGTGAGGCTTATTAATTTTGATAGATTCAAAACGCAAATGCAACACGTACAGAATTCGGAGGAGGACTTGGAGAAGAAACGGAAACACTGTACGTTATTAATACACTCCTACGAAGCGATGATGCGATTTTCTCTAACTCTCCAGGTAGATGTCGATGTTGTAAAGGCATTCGAAAGCGCTCTTGCGCTCCTGAACGACCGCGTAAGATCCTGACGGCAGTGGTTATCTATGATAACTTTATCTCCAGTTTTCTTTTTCTGTATTATAGAATTTGCAATAGGTGCCACCTAACTCAATTACTTATCAGGGAGTGATCCCTCTTATTGTCACCAGACATATACAAACATGCCCACATTCCGCTGGTAGCTCACCCTCCCTTCTGCTCGCAGTGGGAGAAAAAAAGGAGACAAGGATGCGAGGAAGTGATAATATCCCTATACAACCTAAGCCACGGCTCGGCCAGCCTCATTCTGCCTTCTCAGCCCACTAGTGATGTCCTCCCAGGTAGCGTCAATCCGTCCTCTAGTGCTTGCTAGTAAGCTTTCTTCTTCGGCCTCTTCAGAATCCTCATCGAGCTGTCGCTCGTCGAATTTCGGAGAGCGCAAGAGAGCGGTGACCATTACAAGTAGATAGATACCTTGATCGCATGTCTAATTAGAACCTCCAGTTTAAATTGTTATCAGAAAAGTAAAGAGTCCTTACCTAGGAAAGCGAATTGGGCCCAAAAGAAGATGGCACCAAATAAGGGGAAATTCATCGTCACCCGGTTAAGAAATGTGCTGACAACGCTTGGAGTGCAGACTTGCTTCGCAGCCAAACTATCCGCCACCTCAGAGCACGGCTTGATAAGATCTTTATCACCTGAACAATCCGGCTGTTTTCCAGAAAAGCTGAGCGCTCGGTCACAGAAAGTCTGCGGCCCATAAGTTGCGTATTGAGGGGCAAGTATCATCGATGTTGAATAGTTCAAAGCTAGTATGATCAACATCAACATAGCTGTTGCTAACAGAAGAGCTTGGGGCGATGTGTGGCCTTTTCGGATTTGGAAGATTCTGATCCAGAGAAACCGAATGCCAATTGCAGAAACACCGACGATGGAGCTGCTGAAAAGGAATAAGACAAGCACTGTGAAAATGAAGTAGTCCACTGGGAATATTTTGGCGGATTGGACAAAGACCCAGTTGATGGGGTTGAAAACATTGATATGTCCAAGAATGTATCCGCATCGTTGTTTGCAGAATGAGTTCTTGGCCTTATCGATCGCCGTCAAAAGCATAGATATCCATATAGTAAAGGCAATAAGTAAAAGAATAACGCCGGATAGCAGCCGAAGAGGACGAAATATAGCTTCAATTTTTAGCCACAATTGCATTAACCGGTTTTGATCTTTGTTCTGAGCTTCATCCGATAAGCGTTGTCGGCGAATAAGCGTTCGTTCTTCCCTAACCAGAGTATCCAGCTCTCTACGGTCTTTTGAAGACAACAGCCCCGGATTCCCTCTGCAGAGACCTTCTAACTGGCGCTGTCGTTCCCGATTAGAACTAAGCTGCACAGCTGTAGTCGCTTCCAATGTCGGGCCTATAACTGACGGACCTTCCTTGATTAGGGCAATCGGAAATAGAGCTAGACCCGTGGAAGTATATAAAACATATAAGCACAGGCCTATGGTTATGAGCAAACCGAGAGCAAATGTAAGGGCACGTTCGCCACCTGCGGTAGTAACCTATTAGCAACAGCACTCGATGGTATACGATATACCGGCTGAAGGAACAATGATTCGAAGGAGCTCCAAGCTTACGGCTTTCAGTCAGTAGGTTTTTGAAATAATCCAGACCGCCACCATTCCCATCTTTCGCAACAGGCACGAAGAAACCAACGAGAAACAGCACAACCACTATCGCAAGGAAAGAGACTGTGTATCTAAAAGCAGCCCAAAACCGCTGCCCCAGTGGCTGTTGTTCTCTTTCAGATGCCACCTCGTCGTACTCTTCGTACCAAAAATAAATGAAAGGGATCACGATGAGGCAGAGGAGGGCGTCCAAAGAGTATAGGAAGTAATACGCGACTTTCAAGCACAATAATATCCTATCTATTTCACTCTGGGTAGCCCAGTCTTGTCGCCGACCTAGAGCCGGATCAATCGTAGATGAGACCAGAGCAACGTCGACTGGTACCAAGAGAACAGTCGCAAGAAGGGTGGCGACAGCAACGATACAAGTCAGTATCACCGATGGACAGCGATCCCGAGGGGTATGGTAAACATAAATAAATACAGTGGCCACTGCAACCAAGATGGCTACCACAATTGCATATACAGCCCAGATAAGGGACGTTTGCAGGAGCGCCATGTTGGATTTTGTATCTCACATGAGAGAGGACTCCGTTCGAGGGTTGAGGCTAAGAAGCGATTACAGGAAACTGTCAAGGATCCATGAGTACCTAACGAGCAATATGCAAAACACACAAGGAATACCAGGCATTTGCCATAACATACCAAATACCGAGATGATCATATGAAGAGGACATCATTGACGGTTATCGCGCAGTTCCAAACGCGTCTTACGTCATCGTATCGTGGAGCTTGTGTTGATCACGTGCTACACCCGTAGCTCCCAGGTCGACGGGGTGATGTCCCTTATGTAAATGGATAGCACCAAGCAGCTTCGTTGTTCAGAGATTCCTAGAATAAAGTCATTTGCAGTACATAACTTAGTTACTTCCAGCCTTGCTATTCTGCTTTCCCATTATTTATGCAATGGTTTTTTTTGCATAAAGGCAGTTGAAGAGACAGATACATAAGCGGGAAGGAGCAAGAGGGAAGTTCGAACATCTTCTCGGTTAATCTTGTTAACCAAATGCAGTGTTATACTGAGCTCTTGCCTCCCACTGGGGTCACTCATTCGTTGGCACTTCCTTTTATATCTGAATCAGCGAACAACTTGGTGGTTGCTAGAACCTCTCGTCTCCAGATATTTTCATTGCTTAATATTTGCCCTCGACCTGGAAGCACCGAAGAACAGGGTGTCCCAAAGCTGATATTGGAGAGGGAATATGCTCTTCCAGGAACGGTAACAGATCTATGTCGAGTCAAACTCTTGAATACCAAGAGTGGCGGCGAAGCCATTTTGCTTGCCTTCCGAAACGCGAAACTTTCTTTGATCGAGTGGGACCCAGGGCGGTATGGCATCTGCACTATCTCCATTCACTATTATGAGCGGGATGATTCGACTAGTAGTCCGTGGGTACCTGATTTGAGCAGCTGTGGCAGCATCCTTAGTGTGGATCCAAGCAGTAGATGTGCGGTTTTCAACTTCGGGATCCGGAATCTCGCCATCCTTCCTTTCTACCAGCCGGGCGATGACCTGGTGATGGATGATTATGGCGAACTTAACGAGGAGAGACTTGGCAGCCATGGATTAGAAAGTGGCACCGATTGTGAAATGACCAAAGAAAGCAATGCGCATGGGACGCACACTTCTTCCTTTGTGCTCCCTTTGGCAGCGTTGGATCCATCAATACTGCACCCCATAAGTCTCGCTTTTCTATATGAATACAGGGAGCCGACATTTGGAATTTTATACTCGCAGGTTGCTACATCTAATGCGCTTCTTCATGAAAGAAAAGATGTTGTTTTCTATACCGTTTTTACACTGGACTTAGAGCAGCGAGCATCAACGACTTTACTTTCCGTGTCTAGATTGCCTAGTGACTTGTTTAAAGTGGTAGCCCTCCCTCCTCCTGTTGGAGGCGCCCTGCTCATTGGGTCTAACGAGCTTGTTCACGTTGACCAGGCAGGGAAAACCAATGCAGTGGGTGTTAATGAGTTCTCTAGGCAGGTTTCGTCTTTTTCAATGACGGATCAATCGGACCTAGCACTTCGCCTCGAAGGCTGCATCGTCGAGCGTCTTTCTGAAACCAGTGGAGACTTACTTTTGGTACCCATCACCGGAGACATAGTCCTAGTTAAATTCAGGCTAGACGGCAGGTCGGTGTCGGGTATCTCAGTTCACCCCGTACCTTCCCATGCCGGCGGAGACATCGTGAAATCAGCTGCTTCTTCATCGGCTTTTCTTGGCGATAAGATGGTTTTCTTGGGAAGTGAAGACGCCGATTCAATACTTCTGGGCTGGTCAATTCCATACTCAGGCACTAAGAAGCCCCGATCTCAGGCAAGGCGCATAGAAGAGGATTCTGGAGAATTTTCTGATGAAGAACAGAGTGAAGATGATGTTTATGAAGATGATCTCTATGCTACGGTGCCAGAAGTTGTGGTAGACGGTCGTCGCCCCTCTGCAGAGTCGTCCGGGTCTAGTTTGTACAATTTTCGGGAATACGACAGACTTTTGAATATTGGACCTCTGAAAGATATTGCTTTCGGAAAGTCTTTCTCAAGCCTTGGCGGGGAAGAAAATGCCGGCAATGACTCGGACCTGGAATTGGTAGCTTCCCAAGGGTGGGATAGAAGTGGTGGCCTGGCTGTTATGAAGCGCGGACTTGAGCTTCAAGTGCTCAAATCTATGAGAATAGACTCGGCCAGTTGTGTCTGGGCAGCATCTGTAGCTCATATGGAAGAAGCCGTATCCAAGACCACCGCGCAGGTTGGAAAACGAGAATGTCATCAATATGTTGTTGTGTCAAAAGCAACGAGTGCCGACAGGGAACAATCTGAAGTTTTCCGGGTGGAAGGACAGGAACTGAGACCATTCCGAGCCCCCGAATTCAACCCAAATGAGGATGTAACCATTGATATTGGGACGTTAACAAGCAAAAACAGAGTGGTTCAGATATTGAGAAGTGAAGTTCGAAGCTATGATGGAGGTGAGTTTACTCTCCTGATGGTGCCTATGACGAAGGTAATCTAATGGAATAGACCTGGGCTTGGCTCAGATCTATCCTGTCTGGGACGAAGATACTAGCGAAGAACGTATGGCCATTAGTTCTAGCCTTGTGGATCCGTACGTAGCGATACTTCGCGATGACTCAACGTTATTGCTTCTCCATGCAGATGATAGCGGAGATCTCGATGAAGTCGAATTAAATGAGCAGATGGCTACTTCAAAATGGACCTCGTGCTGCTTGTACTTCGACAAAACTGGGATTTTCTCCTCTCTCAGTGCAACCTCAGACAAGTTGGCTCCAAAAAGCATGACCCTTTTCCTAATGACCCAGGATTGTCGTTTATTTGTGAGTTACGCAATGGCTTCGAGCAAATGAAGTTGTACTGTTTGGCTTCTAGTGTAAAACTTGGGCACGTCTAATACTTACAACACCTTTAGATATATCGACTTCCTGATCAGAAACTATTAACGACAATCGAAGGTGTTGATTGTTTGCCGCCAGTCTTGTCAACTGAATCTCCGAAGCGGTCAACTACGCGCGAGGCCTTGGCCGAAGTTATGGTTGCTGACCTTGGAGACACCTGGAGCAGCTTTCCTTACTTGATTGTATGAACTTGACGTATCCCTTGCTGAGGCTTCTTCTCTGAGTTTCGTGGTTAACGCGATCGATATAGATACGCAGCAGACATGATGACCTTGCCGTATACAGACCGTTTATATCCACTACAAAGTCTGTAAGGGAACCCCACGCTGACTTAAATTTCCTAAAAGAGACAAATTCGGTTTTGCCAAGGATAGCCTCCGGTGTGAATGATCAGTCATCAACTGAGGAGGGAATAAGAAGCCTACCACTGCGCATTGTATCCAATGTTTCAGGAATCAGCGCAATATTCAGACCAGGTGTTTCACCAGGTTTTATAGTCAGAACTTCGACAAGCTCTCCACATTTTCTGTGCCTTAAAGGAGGATATACGCAGGGTCTTAGCAAGTTTGAAACTTCCGAATGTGGTGAAGGCTTGATTCTTCTGGATTCAAAGGTGCTTTGCTTCATACCTCTCTGTTAAACATACTGTATACTGAGTTTCCATACAGGGCGTCGTTCATGTTTGTCGAGTGCCTCTTGATGTCCAGTTGGACTATTCGTGGACAATACAGCAGATACCTATTGGAGAGCAAGTTGATCGCCTAGCATACTCTTCATCATCTGGAATGTACGTCCTGGGAACTTCTCATAGGACAGAATTCAAGTTACCTGAAGATGATGAGTTACATCCTGAGTGGCGTAATGAAAGTATGTCTAACACCTGTTGACATATGTCCAGTATGCTGACAATATCACAGTGACCTCGTTCTTCCCTGAAGTGCAGCGAAGCTCTTTAAAAGTCGTGAGCCCGAAAACGTGGACCGTTGTTGATAGGTATGAAGCTATTGCGAAAAGTGCAATAAGAGTTACGATTGCTAACATCATGTTTTCCTTTACCCGGAAGTTATCTATTGAGCCCTGCCGAGTATGTGATGGCGATAAAAAACATGAGTCTTGAGATCTCTGAGAATACACATGAGCGTAAGGATATGATCGTTGTGGGGACAGCATTTGCAAGAGGTGAAGACATTGCGTCGCGTGGCTGTGTGTACGTCTTTGAGGTTATTAAGGTCGTCCCTGATCCTGAGAGGCCAGAGACGGACCGTAAATTGAGACTCGTAGGCAAAGAGCCGGTAAAAGGAGCAGTAACCGCCTTGTCCGAGATCGGAGGCCAGGGCTTTCTGATAGTCGCACAGGGACAGAAATGCATTGTCAGAGGCCTCAAAGAAGATGGTAGCCTTCTGCCTGTTGCTTTCATGGACGTACAGTGCCATGTTAGCGTGGTGAAAGAGCTTAAGGGCACAGGAATGTGCATCATCGCTGATGCTGTGAAGGGGCTCTGGTTTGCGGGCTATTCGGTAAGTTCTTGGTTCTCAAAGGACGTGAGCCAAGGCAATAGATCTGACAATATTGCGCTTCCAGGAAGAGCCTTATAAAATGAGCCTTTTCGCAAAGGATCTGGAATATCTCGAGGTTCTGGCAGCAGATTTCCTTCCTGATGGCAACAAGTTGTTCATTCTCGTTGCTGACAGTGACTGCAACCTCCATGTGCTCCAATATGACCCTGAAGGTGTGTCAGATTGTCTTTTCTCAAAATATTTCAACAAGCAGTCCACTGATAAAGGAATAGATCCAAAATCGTCCAACGGCGACAGACTACTGAGTCGCAGCAAATTCCATACAGGCAACTTCATCTCGACGTTGACGCTCTTGCCACGTACTTCAGTCTCCTCTGAACAAATGATCTCCGATGCTGATGCAATGGACGTTGACATTAAAATACCACGCCACCAGATGCTCATTACGTCCCAAAACGGATCCGTTGGTCTCGTCACATGTGTTTCCGAAGAGTCCTACCGTCGATTGTCCGCTTTGCAGTCTCAGCTGACTAATACCATTGAGCATCCATGTGGTCTTAACCCTCGAGCTTTTCGGGCAGTGGAAAGCGATGGCACTGCAGGTAGGGGAATGCTCGATGGAAAGCTTCTCTTCCAATGGCTAGACATGAGCAAGCAACGCAAGGTGGAAATAGCCAGTCGTGTTGGAGCGAATGAATGGGAGATCAAAGCAGATTTTGAGACTATTAGCGGTGAAGGGCTTGGATACCTGTAATGGTAGGCAGCCTGAGTCAATAAGGGCTCCGGAACATATACCATAGAACATCGATATGGAAGACAGCAAGTTTTTGGGCATGAACTATGATATATTCGTAATCGCTGTATGTTTATATATACCTTTTCGAGATGTTCGAGAGTTGGCTAGTCGCAAGATGAGGCTTAATACTTTTCCCAGTTATGATTTCGAAGACTAAATACGGGACTTCAAGATCAAGTAGTAGTACCCTATTGTCTTCACATTTTAATGCTACGTAAAACTTGATGTCGCTCCACGATTATTGTCGACCAGAGAGATACCAATCAACCAGCAGGCAGGATAACACAAGGCATCCGTATGAACGGGCAAAATTGAACTCTGGCTGAGCGGATGGTAACGGAATCTATTGGTATACACGTGCAAACATAAAAGTGAAAAAATAAATAAATAAATAAATAAAAATAAATTAAATAAGAAACAAAAGAAAAAAAGGAAAAAAGAGAGGTTCAGACGGCCAGCCGATTGTCAAGTTTCCCTTGTGGCTCTTTAGCCCAAGGTACCCTGATCCTTCCACATAACATCATGACGCCAGTATATATGTATTACACCAAAGAAAAGATAAAGAATAAAGAATAGAACAAAAAGTTATTGGGAGCCAGACATCAGTAAAGATGAAGAGAAGAGGCCCGGATATCTTAGACTCCGTCACGCCACAACAAACCCCATAACTCGTGGTCATTACATATCTGTACATCTCGAAGAAACAAAAGAAAAGAAAACGGCGGTAGCCTTTGAAAGGGATTCCGTCCAAGTGGAGTGTTTAAGACCAAAATATTGAAGCCAGCTAAGGTCGAGCGCCTTCAAATTTGGCAGGTTTCCAGTATTCGGCAGCTCTTAAAAGAAGTTGGGCTCTCGCCTAGCTACAAGATCATGCACAGCCAAACCATAATGCTAGAAAACATCTTCTGCAGCGAAGTATCGCTTACTTCTACCTCGTGTAGCAACGAACTTCATCTCAGGCATATTGGTATGGTGTACCACATGTGGTCGATATACTGCATCCACGGGTGCTTGCCAGTCATCCAAGCCCAATGGAAAATATTCATATAATAAATCGGCACTCTCGTTGGGAAAAGGCAGAGTCGACGCGAAAGGTTGCTGCATATTAGTCGTGTTCAGCAAGGGCAACGATGATGATGTGCTCCTGGTCGGTGGTTGTGGAATTCCATGCGAAAGTTTTCGCATTTTCGCCGGTGGTGCCGAGCCCTCCGTATTTATAATCTTCTGCGGAATCTCACTGGCGTACGAGGACGTCGGTCGGGCAGAGTCATTCAAACGAGAAGAATCACCACCACCGTCATCATCAAGGAGTGACAAATTTATCGGGGCTGCTATAGCACTAGCACGTCGTTGCTGAGTTTCTGCTGTCCGGGAGTATTCTGGACTGGATTGTGAATAGATAGATGAGCGAGGTAGAGCTGTAGATGGAAGCGCACCTCCTGTAGATTGGGGAATCTGTGTCCAGTCAGGGGAAGCCCGTTGGGCAGTAACGCCGACCTGAGAAGCCGAGGCCTCCGGTGAGCTGCTCTTCCCTGTAGTCTTAGCCTTGGATGAAGGCTGACCAGAGCGTGGAGCAATTTCACTGGTTGGCGTACGGTTGATACTGGCTGAGTGGGAAGCTTGCGCGTTCTTTCTTGACGCCGCAGCACTACCGCTCAAGGGCAAGTCCTTGCGAGATTGAAAGTTGCGTGGACTGCGGCCCCGGACAATTACGGGTCCCGAGTGTACCTCGCAGATGGGGATTTTTGTGCCCGTAGACAAAGTTGCGACGACCTTCAGCCGAACAACGAAGTGTTGCTGGAGCTCCTTTCTGCGCCCATTGTTGGCAGTTGCTACACGAAACTGGAGTCGCTTCCATGCTATCGGGAAGGTGGCATAGTCTGTATCTAGGTCCTGACCGGCCATGATGTCTAAGGGAATCGCGGGAGGTTCTTTTTCAACCTTGGGGTTATTTGGGTTGTTCGTCGTGGTAGGGTGGCTGCTGTCTTCGGTTGAAGGATTCGCATTCGCAGCGGGGGTTTTCCAGGGTACAGAGATGATTTTGACAGAATTGCCTTCCACAGACTCGGTTGCTGAAACAGTGAGTTCCTGTGCAAGAATTGGTATACGGTCGCCTTGCTCTGTCATAATATAGCGCAAGCTCCGGGGGAGGGTAACTGAGCCCGTGATCTGAAACAAGTTACGACGGTAACACGTTAGCTCCGCACCTTGCTGGGGCGGAGCATTCTCTGCGGGGGATGTGGTCCAAGGCGACTCCGCAAGGAAAAACATGCCATGCAACTGGGCTGAGAGTGACAATGAAGTCCGCCGTAGCGAGTAATCAAGCAGGGTAAAATTATATACCGGTATCGAAAAGCTCAGTAGTTTATTGTTATGGTCGATGGACGAGTCAGCGTGTTGTTGTTCTGCAGGCGTGGGATCAAAAGGCGCCACCATGTCAGTGAAAGGGTCATCATATCCCGGAGGGAATCGTTTTAGCGGCGCAGATAGACCTGTCTGGGGGAAGGATATATCATCTCCACTGATTCGAAGGTAATGTTAGGGCTCTGCCCACAGTAGCGATCATCCGTAAGACGACGAGCTCACCTGACAAATGTCTCCGAGTCAAAGTTGGAGCGCTGATCAGGAAGATCCATACCAGGCATAGAGTTGAGGTAGTCGGCGCCCTGGATATTGCTGAGCGATAGTGGGCTGGCCAAGTAGGGCATAGCCATAGTATCGAAGCCCTCCATGGCAAGGGTAAAACTCAATTAAGCCTTGCAAGGTCAGCAAGACGAGATAAACGATCAATTGTCTCCCTCAGAAATAACAGGGAAGCGAATCAAAAAAGCAAAGGGAACGTAGAGGGAGATAAGTAGTTGGAACAATCAACTCCGGGGGAGGAAGAGCGTAATCGCGATAACTGCGGAGAACGCGTTAGGAGCTAAGGAGGTCTCATAAAGGGCTCAAAGTCCATGAGATGAAGTACACGATAGTAAGAATACAAATAAGTAGTAGTGATAATAGTAGTAATAAGCAACAAAGAATGAGAGGAAATAAAAGGTAATTGAGAGGAGGGGTAGAAGGTAGATCGAGGGAAAGCAATCACTTGTAGTAAGTAGTGATAGGTGCTATGAAGGAGTCGTGAGTGGATCAGATTGCCCCGAGGTGAGTACGGAGTAGTCGGTGGAGCTCGCCGTGATGTCTCTTTCTCAGGTAAAAAATGAAAAATAAAATAAAAAATAAAATAAAAATAAAAAAAGGAAAAGGAAAAAAAAAAGTTGATCCGGAGTCAATCTAAGTCAATAAAGATAGATAACAAAAGGCTAAAGACGGTCCCGGCGACGGGGCGGCAGCAGTAGCCGATGAAGAGGGGCGGAAGGGAGGGAAAAACCCAAGATGTTCAAGGACTTTGGTTCACTAACGCCCACTTTGTCCTGGTTCAAGGTTGGTGACTTTAGTTTAAACTTGGACAAGTCAACTAAGGTACCAACGAATGAAGGATGAACTGATGGGTTCAGCGAGTGTGGGGCACAAAAGCAGACTAGCAGACCACTAGAATGGTGGAAGAGGAGAAGAGACGAGGTGGAGGGGAGATGATATACCGAGCGGATTCTTGAATATCACTTGTGGAGAGTGGCCAAAGACGAAGTATGGAAAAATGAAAAATAAAAAGAGAAAGAAAAGAAAAAGGAAAAAAGGGAAAAAGGAAAATGAAGAGCAGTAACCCTGACCGGAGACGTACCCAGATTTAAAGATGGAAAGAAACAGAGTAGAAACACCGTTTTCCCTTCATGCTCAAAGCTCTGTATTCAAGAATGGATGAGATCTCCGTGATTTGTTTAGCCCTCGACCTCTTCTCTCTATATTTACCACTTTTATGAAAAGTTCAAAAATTTCTAGAACAGGGGAATCCACCAACAACTTGTAGCGCCCACAAGGAAGAAATATGCTTTAGTCTCTGCGGCTTACCCGTTGTGCTCCAAGTTGGTGGTTTGGTTATCTGGGATTGGTTTGTCTAGTCTGTATTGTACATACGTACATTACCTACCGTACGTTTCTCGACCCATACATATGTCTGAGCTTAGGATTCTTGTCTTACCCTTATTTCTGAATTCCCATTTCTTTTCATAGGTCAACGTTTGCAGCTATTATTGTCTCATTGACCATGAGCCGCAAGAGTTGAACGCCCTGGTTGTTATGGTTCTTGGGACGTTAACCATGGAAGGCGGAAGGACTGGTACTAGTCGAAAGATTACCCCAGTTTGGCAGTTAAGGACCTGCCGGATTAGGAGAGGCTGCTTTTGGAATCATAGTACTAGTCTAATTTAGGAATGACCCCACTGAATTGAACCCGGGGAATATCTGCCTTTTCTTTCCCTTTCCTTCTTATGTTATTTCTTTTTCTCCTTTTTTTCGTTTTCTTTTCTTTTCTTTTTCTTTTTTTTTTTTTTTTTTTTTTTTTTTTTTTTTTTTTTTTTTTTTTTTTTTTTTTTTTTTTTTTTTTCTCATCACTCATGTAAATTAATAGCTTTGAGTTACCTAGGCTAGACTAGGGACGAAATCATCTTTTTAATTTCTCATTAGACGTAAAGTCTCGCGGCTAACCTCGGTTTTCCAACCAGGTTGTTCAAGGTGGTTAATATAAAGAAACATCGTACGTAGTATTTAGTATTTACTGAAAGAAGTTATTTCTAGCCTTCGGCCGGAGGATATAGGCAGAAACAAGGTAATTAATTGGACAATGAAACCGTAAGTTAATACTAATAAGTCCTGTCAGCTTGTCGCTCTGTTCTGATCACCCTTTGAGTGCTCCATAACACGAGCCAATCTGAGGTAGGGTCGCTCACCTGCAAGCTAAACCAAAGGATCTCAAGGCTGACAGTGGAGGTCCAGGCGATTTCGATGAATGCAGGTGTTGCGAGTTGACATAAATGGTAAGGCGTAGTGGATACCTAGAGGCCATGGGTAACCGTGGGCGGTACACTAGTATAGCACGGTACTATGATACAACCTGAGTACTCATCAGTCTGTAATAATAAGACCAATAGAAATGACCATAGTAATAGCAATTTGCAACGCTTAAGTAAATTTGTGATGGCCTTAGCCTAGTTATACTCTCCTTGAGCTGCTTTGGCAACTGACGATCTGCATGTGGGTAAGACACTCTCCAAGGAAAAAAAAAAAAAAAAAAAGGGAATAGTATAATCATAAACCAAAGTTTGGTCTCCGCCTGATCACTAGCCGTTTTCCATGCTGTATTCCATACTTTAGGAGAGATCGATCAATATTGGTCTGTCTTACATGCAGCCGAGACTCTTGACACCTTTTCCTTTTTCTCTTACCTTCTCTCTTCCATTCATGTCCTCGTCTCGGCCTTTTCGCTTGGATCTTTGGTGGGGTAAGGTTAGAGATCCCGGCATGATCGACTCATCGGTAACTCTTACTGCGCCTTGTTATCTCTGTCCGCCGAATAGAATCTTATCATGAAAGTAGTATCGGAATGGTATCAGGGATATTTAGAAAAAGACCATTCGGGGGAGGTGGTACGGCATGAGGCTTTGCGATTGGTCCGCGGTCAAAGCTTACCTTGAACGGTGTTTCATATTCCGTTCCATGCTTAGTTAATATTTATTCAACTTAGAGAGAGAATACGCTTGGTGGCTCGCATTTATTGGATGTGGGAATAGTTGGTGGTAAGATTGAACACAGCAGAGTTTTGACCTAGGGGAACCTGAAAAATTCTTGGCTTACGCAGCAACGAGGAATGACAGCCTGTTAACAGATTTTATCATCCGACAACTCCGTATACCCGCATGTTAAGATCTCTCTGTCAGTGGAATAGCTGGGAAGCGCAGGCTGTGGCCTCACCACACTACTGTAGCTTATACATTAGCTCCAACCCTAGTTGATTGGTGTCTACTGTATAGTTCGGAGCTGGCCATGAGATAAGACTGTACGCACATGTTAGTCCATGTACTCTCTAGCTAGTACTACCCTATCGGGCTATTGAATATCAGGGTCGCTTCCAGGGTCTAACACACGAGACCAAAAACAGTTAGCATCCTCAATTTTAGTATTGACTTTCTCAGCTCTTTCTGACCTACAGCCCTCCACGATGGGGGCCAAATGGATGGGCTGAGGCTGTGATTGGGCAAGACTAAAGATGTATGTCTCAGACCAAGCCGACGAGGCCGGATCAGCCGCGCCCTTAATTCGGCCATGGCCGTCTTAGTGAACTAAGGGACCACTCATGGCTGAAGCTGGTTTGCGAGTGAACGCACTTCGACTCAGTAAGTCGTAGTAGGTACTCCGTCGTAGATAGTTACCACCTTTGCCCCGTTCTCATTCTTGCTTTTTTGCAGTTTTTGTATCGACATGGAAGTACTGTTACAGAATAACGCTATCCACGCCCGTGCTTCCTCATCGTTAGGTCTATTTCTTCTTGGCAAGAAACCTCATGTGCCCAGCTAGCTCTAGTGTGGCCTGAAAACGACAGGGCTTTGTAATTTGTACTTACATGGTTAATTCCCTCCTACATTGTCATATGTTCTGGGTTACCAGAAAGTTTACACATTCTAGCATGTTTCTAGAACCCCTCTTGTCCTACTAAAGGGTGACTTCTCTTCACTAGAACTTTATTCATGTGACCGCCCCTTCTTGCCACAGACTTTCTTGGTGAAACCACCAAGCTGCATGGGTCTCGCAAGTATCTCATGATGCGAAGTGACGGCGAGTTTGTGGCACCAAGTGGCGACCTATTGGTGTTTCCTTTCCCTTCAATTTATTCAGAGTGTATAAAACATTTATACATAAGTGGACATGTTCGACTGAGATGGGTGATAAAATGGACCGAAGTATGATTAGAAGAGCTACCTAGTAGCGTCTGAGGCAAGCTAAACACTCGGCTTATATCACCATCATGCATCCCACGCTAAATCCAGATTTTAGTGGCAAATAGTGATGAACATTGGATCAAGAGGTGTGCAGCTCAGCGACAGATCATTCCTAAAGGATAAAAAAAGTAAAAACTGGCACATACACCAAGACTCTGGGTTGACTACGTGGGGAGCTCTCCAAAGCCTCGTTTGAGATCCTTGACAACCGGTAAATAACGCACCGTTGGGACGGTGGATTTTCTAGATACTTAGTCTCTTATGAAGTACACCGAATGGATACTGGCAGCACCACTACTGTGGGCACTGAGGGGTTATACTTTTTACACAGTTGTATGGGCTTGCATACCCAGCAACTCTGTATTATGCTGTATTGTAAAACTTCTATCTCTACCCCATCTACTAGTAGGAGTTCAGGGTACTTCATATGCGCTCTTTATAGTATTTAGTTTTATGCAAGATGACCCATCCTAGTCAACACGATTACAAGGAACTTGGTATAATGTGCTGTGTCGTCATTTTCGTCGCTCTTTCAACAGAGAAATCTGGTTCCTGAATATCCTGCATTGTGTTTGGGCCATTGACAAAGTCCGAGGCAGGGCCCTCTTTATTACAGCATTGTAGCATTCCTCAATCATTGAAGGGGAAAATGGAAAAATACAATAGAATTAGAATAACGTTCAGGATCCTGTTTTCTCTGTTTGTTTTCTTCATTCTTTTCTCACTTTCTTCGTTCCAAAGAAAAAAGTTTTTTCTTTTCTTTTCTTTTTCTTTCTTTTTTTTTAATTTTTTTTTTAAAAAAAATATATTTAAAAATTAGAATAAAAATAAAAATCTCAAAAGGTGTATATTACAAATAACCATCATTAAATATTCTTCTTTTCTTTTGATTTCTAAGAGAACCAAAGAAGAGGGAAAGGGAATAACACTACGGAGGAGTGGTGGTCCACTTGTCCCGTACTATCGCAAATCCGCAAACGGTCCATGCCTACGGCCATGAGCTGCCGACACTGGACAGTGACCTGACTCCGCATCACTTAAATTAAACTAACCCACTGTAGAGTTAGTGGCTCGGTAGAAAGTATGTCCATGGGCTAGACTCGCACCAGTCGGCTTGAACGGACTCAAATTAGGCTCCGAGGCCCTGAAAACAATGACAGAAGCTCTCGCTCATCGTTTTAGGACAGAACCATTTCGTCAATAGAGGTAGTAATGTTTGTCCCAAACCGTATGAACGGCGGTGAGTGCTTCATCGGTGGTGTTCCCATGAAACATGGTTGTTACTCACGTCTGATGCTATATCTCATGTCGCTAATATCTATAGTAGCCCTTTGAAAATTAGGTAAGGTAAAGAGGTTTGCAGTACGTATCTGTCGCTATCAGGATCATCACACAAAGAATGGATGTCAATCCGGCCCTAGACGTTCAGTAATTGGCCCGTCTTCCAAGGTCGGATCTTGGCGCCTTTTTACTTCCGAGGTCAAATTCTAAGTTATCGGGGAATACTCTTGCTAAGAGAATCCTTTTTTTTTTTTTTAAGTATTTGAAATAAATAAGAAATAAAGGGTAAGAGAAAAAGACCCTCTAACCAACTCGCTCTCCACCTGCTAATCAAGGCCCGCATTCGTGTTCCTGCGCCAATACCAGACAGCGCGTGGATCATCCGAAATCCGATCTGCTTCGCTCTCTAGGCATCCATCTAACTTCATCCGCAAAATTCCCCTGTATCCCTTGAACTGTCGAAACCTGAGCTTGAAACATTGACTGGATATGTACTCGTACATGAGGGCCCATCGTATCATCCTTCAAACACTGAAACAAATCTCCGAAGAGTAATGGATCTTCCAAATTTATAGAGTTAATTAGATGAACATACACTAAAAAGAAATAGTTTCCAAGAGCTACAAGATAGTGGAAACCCAAGAAAGCTTCTAGTAACAGAAACCAGTACATAGTGGATATCATATGGCCTCGAACTGCCCAACTGTCCAAACAATAAGAGAAGTGGAAGTCAAGGAGGGGGAGGGGGAGGGGGGGGGGGGAGAAAGAAAAAGACGTATGAAAAAAAAAAAAAAAAAAAAAGAAAAAAAAAAAAAAAAAAAAAAAAAGAATGAAAGGGGGTTCCGCTAAGACGCGGTCATCATTGTCCAGGTCGCAGCGTCACAGTTAACTTCCTCAAAGCTGTGTAGCGTACTGAAACCCATTATTCCGGATAGACTGTCGAAATTGCTGTCACCATCAACCTGTTTTACAAGTGTCAGTATAAAGGCTACCAAACGGTTTAAAAGAGGGTGTACTCACACAATCCATAATGACGCTATCAGCACCCTGTTTACGGTGCTGTTTGATTCCCATGAAAATCAGTCCCTGCATTACTGTGGCATACTCACCCACGGAGGGTGATATAACTGGGGAAGAAATGCCACCCGTGGACGAATGCATGGCTTTCAGGGCAGGCATATGCTCCGCCAAGGTAGCTCGTCCGTTGTAAATGACCACACTGCCTAGGATTGCCCCATCACCAGGACGCGTAGCCCTTATAATCCCGCAGTTAGGCGCTCCTCCAAGGGCTACCTTATAGATATCTATGACGCCTTGTCTAGAATTAGTTTTGATATGGTCAAGGATTGTGTCTGCATAATCCCATCCATATACGAGGTCATAGATCACATCCGCATTCTGCAGTCCTTGGATGAGTCCATTTGGCGGCTTCCAAGATGACAAGCTGCGCAACACCACACTACAAACGGGCCGCGAGAGGGCTGTGTTCCAGCCTAAATTTGCAAACCATTGCCGAAGCTTCTTCCTCTCAACAGGGTTTGCAGACGGAATACCTAGATATATCCCCGGCAAGCGAGAGCCGAGCTGAAACCTCTTGACGCCTTTTCGTTGGAGGAGTGTTCGGATAGCGCGGTTGTGGAGGGAAGCCCCAATTGATAGCTTCCGTCTTGCCGGGTCGACAATCAAGGCCCCAATGACGCCGGTGCCTGTGGACCGGAAGAAGTATGTCGAGCAGAAACCGTACAGGGCTTGGGTACTGCTATTTCGTACAACAAAATGAGCTTCATCAATTTCTTCTCTCCGCAGAAGGAAGCTGCAAGACGTCACACCCAGCAGTTCTGAGCGTTGCGCCTGAGTACAGTCCTCTCTCACCGCATCTAAGAGGGAATCCAAAGCATGCGAGTCCCGTTCTTCGTTCCAATTCTCCACCAGCCAGTGCTGTCTTGCTTGATGGAGCTTCTGGCTGCGATTAATGGATCCTGGCAATGAGCCCATGGGGATTATCTCCCCGTAAAGAATCTTAACAAGTGCCTCTAGAGCCGTCTCCGTAAAATCATAGGTGCAAATATAAGTCCCGATGGAGGGATCCATTGCGAAATCGTATGGTGAACTGGCAGCAATAACGATCACAGGCTTCTCGCGAGATTCGCCGGAAGGCGTGAACTGCGACCGACAAATCATAGATACGTGCTTAGTAAAGCCATATTGATATTGGTTTCTGTTAGCATCTGCAGTGACTACGATGACCGCACTGGCCCGGTCTATCAGGTTTTCATGGATCGGGCGGACGCCATTGGCTGTGTAGGAGGTATGCAAAACACGCCCATTTCTTTGCCGTGATAGTGACCTCCCTAGTTCCTTGAAGACACTTTCACCACTCAACACAGAGGAAGTCCGGTCCCATGTCATGGGCTCAATAGATAAATTCAGGTGCTCGGTGACTGAGCGAGACACTGCAGAAGCGGGTAATGGCTTGACCAATGGGGTCAGAAGCAACAATTCCTCACTGGGCTCAATGATGTTGGACAAGGGTAAAAGAGTTTTCTTATCTCGAACAACAGTGATAGAGCTGTTGTACGCTCTAGTGGAAAGGGTGGTATGGGAAGGTTGCATCTGGGTGAGTGAGGAAAGACCCGGAGGATTGAGAGCCTGTTCCCAGGAGGTGCATTTCGCCTTCATGCTCAAAACTCTGCGTAATGACTGTTCTATGCGAGCTCTGCCAATGATACCATTCTCCACACCAAGCTTTAATCCAGTGATCGCCTCCTGCTGCACTGGGAATGACCTGCAGAGAAGAATGATGTCGCAGCCCGCCTTCTTTGCCATGACTGTCCCACCACCCACCCCAATATTATGAGTGAGTGCTTCCATCTCCAGGCATTCTGAAACTACCACACCGTCAAATTTCATCTTCTTGCGCAACAGATCATCGACAACCTGCTCACTCAGGCAAGCATGCATCACGTGAAACCCAGCAGACGACAAGGAAACGCCTCCCACCATCATGGAATCAATTCCATGGAGTATGGCGTTTCGAAATGGAACTAGTGCACTCAAACTGAGCTGTTCTAGCGACTCGGTGATGATAGGGACGTCTGACTGGGATCCAAGAAATTCAAGGTTACCATATGATGGGAAATGTTTGCCACATGTCACCAACCCTGCTTCCTTATAACCTTTCATGAACTCCACTCCGTAGTGCGATACCTCTTGGGGATCATCACCCGTGGTACGAACCCCCAAGGGTTGGCTTCGTACGTTGGTCAAGACATCTAGCACGGGGCCCAGAATCCAGTTGATTCCTACAGCCTTCAGTTCTTGGGCAGTTGCAACAGCGACATCATGGGCGAGAGCTTTAGAGCCCGTTGCAGCAATACCCATTGCGCTGGGAAATTGTCGGATGTATATTTCATCGTAGAGACTGTTAACACCTCCATTTTCCTGGTCCAAGGCGATGAGTAATGGCACTGGATGACCGGCATCCCGAGCGATTGTCTGGAGCTCGAGGACCAGTCGCGTGGCATCTTCTGCAGCTAGAAGTAAATTAGTGGTTATCGTATATGTGATGCGTCCGTAGGAAGGTAAGATAGATACAAGAGCAAAATCAACGATGAGAGAGGAAGGCAGAGATACATTTCAAATTCTTGGCAGTCAGTAGGATCGAGCCCAGGTGATAATCCTCAATGAGAGAGCGAATCTGAGGATCAACGGACGTGCCATCAAAGCCCATCATAAAGAGCTGCCCCATCTGCCTGTCAAAAAAGCCATAGTACTCAAATTGTTAGCGAGGACCATTAATCCAGTAAAAGGACATTAAGTTCAATGTAGCAGATAATAATCGGAATCCAATAAAACAGTGGCGAAAAAAAATAAAAAAAAAAATAAATAAAAAAAAGGAGGAAGAGAAAAGAAAAGAAAGAAAAAGAAAAAAAGGAAAGAAACAACACTGGATTGCAAAGGCAGAATGTGAATAGCTGCAATCGGTCGTGACCACTCCGCAAGCGGTGGTGCACAGTCCATGATGGAGAACCGCGTGCCAGACGGAATTGCTGCATACCTGTCTAGATCATCCCAGCCAGGGGGCAGCATGTCCTCTCTTGGGGCCATGAGGGCCCTGAATAAGGAATGCCAGTTTAGTATCTAACACAACGAAATGGGCAAGGGTAATATGGCCCACACTGTGACCATCAGATTTCAAGATCGATATTGGGTGGGCAAAAAGATTAGGTTGGGACACACGCCGTAAACGATGTCGGAGAATACGGCAAGGGCTAAATCGGCAGTTGGATACTACAAATCAGCTTTGGAATAGGCTAGTTAGGATTCATCCGAGTATGACCAGGGGCAAGGACTGGACTGTGGAAGGCTGCAAGCTATGAGCAGCAGCTTCAACGGGTGGTGGTCAGTGCTTGGCGAATGATAATGCATGGAGAGTGTGGGGGCGAGCAGAAAGCTAGCTTTCGGATCAAGCAAGAATAGTATAGTATTGAAAAGGTCTCGAGTACTGGTATTGGTATTTTCTTTTTTGGACTTTCGTTCCAGGAGAGTAGGTATTGGTGCAGTGACCATAGTGACACTCCCAGAGAGGAAGGTTTTTATCCCTCACGCCTGTATAAGAGATTGATATTCCTTATTAGTAGGTTGTTGCATCCTTGGCAGTACCTATTGACATTCGTTGAGGGGCGCGTTGATACTGGAAAGCCCGAAGGGGTCACCTGGTTAGATCACGTGTAGATTCCGTCTTCTTGGTACTGGTAATACATAGTACCATACCAAACCGTCATAACAGTTTTAATTACTAGTCAATACCAGTGTATTAACATGAGATTACACAAAAATCCCGCCTACCCACCAAGAGTTCCCTCGATCGATACGACGCCACAGCAGATAAGAGAGGGTTGCATAGGGGCTCCGGTCCCTTCCCCCGGTTTCCCGATCCTACCGAATGCAACGGAACTGTCAAGCAATTCGGACTGTGATTACCCATTCCATTCTAGGCTTAGTGGCCCCGGACAGCTCCAATTGATATCTGTACTATGCCACCCCCTCGTGCAACATTACGTCGACGTGAAGGATGGACCGTTATCTTCGCTGTTTCCTGGGTAGCTAGGGTACGATCCATGACAAAAGCTATTCATATCCTTACGCGGATACTACTGGTTGATTGGATGCTCTACCATAGCCAGTGGAAAGTGTATGCGTCATCAGTCCACTACCACGATGCTACTCTTTCCTCGGCAACAATGGTATTGAACATACAGGAAGGCGAAGAAATGGGGTCTGAGCCCCAGACATAGTATGATACCCCGTTGTATATCTTGTTTATCAATCATTTGGAGGTACTGTATATGGATTGTTATTACTCTTTCCGGCACGGGCCTCCAGTTGTGGAAGAGGCATGGGTCAAGTGACATTCATCACTCATGGTAGGGGAGGGGAATGAAAATCAGACTGTGATAACAACAGTGGAAAAGACAGTATCATGCCGTCACACTCCACAGCCGATCCTAGGGCCTGACAGGTAACTGTAACAGGCCCATTAGTGGATGGGGCAGATGGCCACCTTCCATATTACCTGCCTCTTTGTCCACAATCCTCTTTTCTTCTTGCTGTTCATATTTCTTTCTGCTCCAAGATATTTTTTGGTCTCTTTTCCCGTACCGAACATCTTCGATTGCCTAGCAATATATATCGTTCATCCTTTGCTTCGAGAAAGAAAAAGCCCCAGGCTTATCCAAAGACTTTCAGCTCTGCCCCACTGCGTTGTCGGTGACGTAGTCTTGTTCATCATGTATGGCAGTATCTGTTGTTTCCCAAGCTGGGTTGAACTAGGCCCAAAGCTAACCACGCTCCTTCTTTGTGCACAGGAGAGTAATTATCAGAGAAACCGCCCTGGAGGCTTCAGAATACATCGCCGATTATATCATCAGTATGCTGTTGCCTTAGTTGGCATGCTTGGGTTCTTTCTGACTTCACCTCCTAGGTCGCATCAAAGCCTTTAAGCCCACACAAGATCAGCCTTTTGTTCTTGGTCTTCCGACGGGTAGTAGTCCCGAAGTCATCTACAAGACCCTCGTGCAACGTCACAGAGCAGGAGACATTTCTTTTAGGAATGTCGTGACCTTCAATATGGTAGGTCCCTGTCATATTTGCTATAGTCATGCCCTCTATCAATGAAATCAAGTGTGCTAATTATCGCAGGATGAATATGTCGGGCTACCTCGCGACCACCCTCAGTCATACCACAGCTTCATGTATAAACATTTCTTCTCTCATGTTGACATCCCGCCGCAGAATATCAATATCCTTGATGGGAACGCCTCTGATCTCGCTGCTGAATGCGCCTCTTTTGAGGCGAAGATCGCCCGCTACGGTGGCATCGAGCTATTCCTGGGTGGTGTTGGTCCAGACGGACACATCGCATTCAACGAGCCAGGATCGTCCCTCAGCAGTCGCACTCGAGTTAAGACCCTGGCTTATGACACGATTTTGGCAAACTCTCGGTTCTTCGGCGGAGACGTGGACCAGGTACCCCGGATGTCCTTGACCGTTGGCATCCAAACCATCATGGAAGCTCGGGAGGTCGTAATTGTGGCCACTGGCGCTCACAAGGCACTGGCAGTCGAGAAGGGCCTCGAAGGTGGTGTCAATCATATGTGGACCCTTTCAGCCCTCCAGTTGCATCAGCATCCGCTGATCGTATGCGATCGGGATGCGACACTAGAACTCAAAGTCAAGACAGTCCGATATTTTGAGGCGATCGAACAATCAGGTACTGATGCGCGTACTCAAGGGCCGCCTCTTGTTTACCGGCCGAGGACCTACGTCCCTGCCCCTATGGGGACGAGCAAAACGAATCAGCAACCCACCCCAGCGTCGACACCGCCAAGGGTTCCCAAGGACCTGAGAATCAATACTCAACTCAACCAGACATTAGATGACGAGGAGTTGACGCCTGATAGCATGTCTTCCCGAATGGTCGATTCAGCCATCAGCGGACTCGACTCGACCTTGAAGGGGGATCTGATGTTTGACCGCATGGGCACTCGAGTCATCTCGCACTGATCAAACACGGCAAGGACCCAAGGTAATAATAAGGTGTACACTGATGGTTGGGCACAAGCGTTCTGAGTTAGTACGCTGTTCTCGACAAAGTACGTGGGCCATAAGTAAAATTGCCGATAAAGCGCTTTATCTTGTTTCATTTGTTTTGGAGTAGGGAACAGTTTTTTATTTGATAGCCTGGATGGACCTACCGGGAAATTTCTTTTTTCTTTTGCTTCTTTTATTATTATTATTTCCTCCCCCCCCTCTTCTTCTTTACCAATATACATAGACGGTACTCGGTATTTCTCCCTACCTAAGGAACTTTTTCATAAAGAATAGATTAGACAATGATATGGGTCTGTGTTTTTATATAATTCTGTGGCCAATTTCATTGATGTCGTAAAATGTGCATGTATGGTTCGTTTGTCTCGAATCACTTATATATCGTGAAATGGTTTGGAAAGGAATAGACATAAGTAATGGCTCCAACTATTTTTTATTTTTAACATCTATGTGCCAGTCATTGCCTAGAGCTTAGCAAATACAGTTGCTACAGCACCATTCATATCGACAAGAGTGCTCTTGTTCTTCACCCAAGCTTCAATACCCCTACGGCCGTTCTCAACGCCGAGACCACTCTTCTTCCATCCACCCACTGCCATTTCAGCCGGGCTTTCTCCCCAGGTGTTTACCCAAGTAATACCCGCCTGAAGTTGGTCGATAATGCGATGGGCCAAGTTGACATCCTTGGTGAAGACACCTGCCGCCAGACCAAGCTCGGTAGCGTTGGCCCGTCGGACAGCTTCTTCAATGGACTCGTAGTACAAAATCGACATTACGGGGCCAAATATCTCTTCCTTGACAATAAGCATGTCATCCTTGCAATCAGTGAAAATGGTGGGCCGGACCCAGAATCCGTTCACTAGCTCTTTTGAAACTTGAGGCTTGCCAAGCCCGCCGTAAAGGAGGGTAGCCTTGTCCGTCTCGATACCATGACGAATATAGGAAATTACCTTCTCAAGATGGACGGCGGAGCTCATGGGGCCGAAGTTGGTAGCTTCATCGAACAAGGGGCCGGGGCGAATGTACTGCATCTTTTCGAGCAAGCGTTGCTCAAAAGCTACCTTCATGCTAGAAGGCACAAACACACGGGTGCCATTGGTACAGACCTGGCCGGTACTGTAGAAGTTGGCCATCATAGCTCCATCGACGGCATTTTCAAGCTCTGCATCAGGAAGGATAACCAGAGGGCTTTTCCCTCCAAGTTCCATGGTTACATATTTCATGTTGCCAGCGGCGGAACCGGCGACCTTCATTCCAGTGGCCACCTGGCCGGTGAAGGAAACCTTGGCAATTGTTGGGTGGGAGGTCAGGTAAGCACCAACATCACCGGCACCATAAACAATGTTGAACACACCATCAGGAAGTCCAGCTTCCTTGTAAATCTCTGCCAAAGTCTGCGCATGAAGCGGTGTAAATTCACTGGGCTTGTAGACCATGGTGTTTCCAGCAGCAAGGCAAGGGGCGGATTTCCAGAGGGCACTGTTTCGGTTAGTCATGATCCAAGTTGTGGTGCGGGTAAAACTGCGCCGGCAATAACCAATTGGATGTCATACATTTGGATGGGATAATTCCATGCACCGATTCCCGCACAGACTCCCAAAGGAGCCTTCTTAGTGAACACCCAAGCGTCTTCTCTCAGCTGAGTGGTCTCCCCATTCAGACCACCACCCCCAACAAGGTTCGCATAGTACTCCAGAACGTCAGCGCCTGTGACAACATCCACTGTACTAGTTTCTGTGAAAGCCTTCCCGGAATCTAGGGATTCAACCCGAGCGATTTCGTCGTTTCGTTCACGAAGTATAAGAGACGCCTTCTGGAGGATACGCGCGCGAGCAATATGAGGGGTTTGTGACCAGGAGGGAAATGCTCGGTCAGCAGCAGCGATAGCTGCATCAATATCAGAATGGGAGGCAACTTGAATTTCGGCAAGCGGGGTGGCGTCGGAGGGATTGACAGATTGAAAAGTCTTGCCGGATGAGGCAGACTGGACTTTGCCGTCATAAAAGAGTTGGCGTGGAGGGAGAGGAAGAGAGGACATGGTATGCGTCAATATTGAACTGGTTAGAGTATTAGTTTTCTATGAGGAGGGGGGGAGGATTTGTGGAAGGAGGGCAGTTCGTATGTAGGACCTCCAGTTGTGCCAATTTATATCATACTACGGACTATGGTTTCTTCTCGGTATGACGGAGGAGAAGGGAAGGGAAAAAAAAAAGAGGAGGACCTCAAGCTTTAGGTATTCCAGACCGCCAAAGCTGTGATTCGCTACCCCTCACCTTTATCTGGGTACTTACTACATAGTACATTAAGGCGGCAGGCGATCTTCGGTGGCGGCAAACTGAAGAACAAAAAATACTTTTTTTTCCGCCTTGTTCCTCTTCTTCCTCGGTTGGGGTCTCAGGCACGTCCTAAACCAGGGGAAACAACTATCAAACATTTCCAACTAGCGGATGGAAGAAGGGTGATGGGGTCTTCTACTTATTTCGGGATTCTTACGAATCATCCCAAGGTGATCATTCATCCAAGGGCAGTGTTATCTCGAATTCAATTGTGGATATTCTCCGTTGAGCTGCCTTGTTGGGTTAACGGTTGGCCCGTGCATTAGTTCGTGGCGTGTTTTAGCGCGAAACCTCGTGTGGGGTTTGACGTCGTGAGGCGGAAGAGAAGTTTCATAGAACTGCATATGGAAGGGGACGTTCTACTAGTAATATAGCGAGTCGTGCCTTTTCTGTCTATTGATAGTAACTCCAATGGATAGAAAAAGCAGCAGGGACGCAGCTTGAGCACCTTCTCCGATTTATCGGGTGTTTCATCAATGAATTCTCAATCATGTTAAAAATCAATCGAGATGGACAGATACTAATCAATGATTCTCGATGCATATTCCCTATTATCTAATCTGTAGTTGGCGGCTCCACTTTCAAGGCTTCCATTCACCGCCATTGGTTAACTCATTCCTTTCCAGGTGACCCGCCAAAGAAATCCAAAAGTAGGTAAAGATTGGAATCAATGGAAAAAAAAAAAAAAAAAAGAGAGAAGTCTATCAGTAGGAAGGAAGTGGTGGTCTGATGGCCGACGGCCGACGGCCTCCATCACCGCATCTTCGTCCTCTAATTTAAAAGTCGAGGTTATCTCCTCTCCTTCTCTTCTTTTTCCCTCAAACCACATCTCCTCTTCTCTCAACCTTCTCCCCTTTTACGTATATTTTCTTATATCTTCTTCTTACGTGGAATTATTGTGTTTTTCTTTCAACATGGCCACCACAAATGATTTTCCCGCCGGCGACGTCAACAGCTATGACTATATCATCGTTGGAGGTGGCACGGCAGGCTGTGTCATTGCCAGCCGCCTGGCGCAGTACTTGCCTAACAAGCGCATCCTTGTCATCGAGGGTGGTCCCAGCGACTTCAACGATGACCGGGTTCTCAATTTGAGAGAGTGGCTTAATTTGCTGGGGGGCGAGTTGGACTACGACTATCCCACTACCGAGCAGCCCATGGGTATGTTGCACGCCCTATTCTTCTTCTTCTTCTTTGTGTGTGTGTGTGTGTGTGTGTGTGTGTGTGAGATATAAACCTACTGGAGTGGATACGCAAACGCAAGTTTATTTGGAAAGAAGAAGTCTCGGTTGTTTAACTTTCTTGATTCACAGGTAACAGCCATATCCGTCATTCGCGCGCTAAAGTACTGGGTGGCTGCTCCAGCCACAATACCCTGATCTCTTTCCGTCCTTTCGAATATGATTGCCAGAGGTGGGAACAGCAAGGTTGCAAGGGCTGGTCCTTTGAGACCTTTACCCGCGTGTTGGACAACCTCCGCAACACCGTTCAGCCGGTTCACGCTCGTCACCGCAACCAGCTCTGTAAGGACTGGGTTGAGGCTTGCTCCACTGCCATGAACATCCCCATTATTCCTGACTTCAACAAAGAGATCCGTCTGAATGGTAAGCTTACTGAGGGTGTTGGATTCTTCAACGTTTCTTATAACCCGGACGACGGCCGCCGCAGCAGCGCCAGCGTCGCTTATATCCATCCCATCCTGCGTGGTGAGGAGAAGCGCCCTAACCTGACTATTCTAACCAACGCTTGGGTATCCCGCGTGAACGTTGAAGGGGACGCTGTTACCGGTGTCAATTTGACCTTACAGTCGGGCGCCAAGCACACCCTGCGGGCCAAGAAGGAGACCATCTTGTGTGCCGGTGCTGTAGATACTCCTCGCCTAATGCTGCTCTCTGGGTTGGGTCCTCAGAATCAGCTGAGCTCCTTGGGAATTGAGGTGGTTAGGGATATCCCCGGTGTCGGTGAAAATCTCCTGGACCACCCGGAGACTATCATTATGTGGGAGCTCAACCGCCCTGTGCCTCCCAACCAAACTACTATGGACTCCGATGCTGGCATCTTCCTGCGTCGCGAACTTCCTAACGCCGCTGGTTCTGATGGCCGTAGCGCCGACGTTATGATGCACTGCTACCAAATCCCCTTCGATCTCAACACCAGTCGCCTCGGATACGATGCTCCTGTTAATGCTTTCTGCATGACTCCCAACATTCCTCGCCCTCGCTCCCGTGGCCGTATCTACCTGACCTCAGCTGACCCCAATGTGAAGCCAGCTTTGGATTTCCGTTATTTCACCGACCCTGAGGGTTATGATGCTGCCACCATCGTCGCCGGTCTTAAGGCGGCACGTGAGATTGCCCAACAGGCTCCCTTTAAGGATTGGATCAAGCGTGAAGTTGCCCCCGGTCCCAAGATCCAGACCGATGAGGAGCTGTCCGAATATGGTCGCCGTGTGGCTCACACTGTCTACCACCCTGCTGGAACCACAAAGATGGGTGATGTTTATCGTGATCCTCTAGCAGTCGTTGACCCTCAGTTGAAGGTCCGTGGCCTGAAGAATGTCCGTATTGCTGACGCCGGTGTCTTCCCTGAGATGCCCAGCATCAACCCAATGTTGACCGTACTGGCTATCGGAGAGCGTGCTGCAGAGTTGATTGCTGAAGAGGCTGGATGGAAGCGCGAGCAGCCCCGTCTGTAAACGCTTGTTTTTGTCCTTTACTCGTGAGCCTCGCTCCTCTGCCAAGGCGACTATGTAGGCAGTTGGGGGGGTTGGGGGTTGGGGGTTTATCTAAGCGTCATTAGAAGTACTCAGATGTCGCACGATTCATGATTTATGTCCACAACATCAAATTGAGAAGACGAAAGAGGCAAAAAGGAAGGGGTGAGATTCTACAATCGCCACATATTGCACTGTTGGCATGTTAAGATGTGTTTAAATGGATAGGGCTATTGTATTCCCTATCCCATATCTTGTATTCCTGTACTTGTTCCTATAATTTTGAGCGATCACATTTTTAGCGCGTCTAGCGCCATCGAACTCTAGAGAAAATATATAAAGATTTCAGACCTGGTGTCCGTTCACATAATCGATTTATTGGTAGAAAGAGCATGTCGAAGCAGAAAACACAGCACAGGATAAAGTGGGCATCACTGGTAACGGTTTTTCTCCAATTTTAATATTTTTTCGTCTAGTTTATATGAAGCCTTCTATAGCCTTAGTTCTATCGTAAATTGCTCTCCAGAGTACAAGAATAACGGCTGCAAGGTATAAATGATAGTAATGAATGACACCAGGAAAAGCACAGATCACGCTGCTCGATACCCCTCAAAACAAAGAGACACTCGAAAATAGGAGGCAGTTAAAGAAGAAGAATAAGATAAGTATGGTAATCTAACAGGCAATTAAAATGGATAGCATGACCACAAACTGGCATAGCATAGCATGTGTATAGGACTCTAAACGTGTTAAACCTCACTGTTGGTAGCTTCTTTCTCAGCATCATAAATCTTGACACCGCGCTTCCAGACTTGATCGATTGTCAAGGTTGGCCCAGAATAAGGATCCGGTGCGTCAGTTAGGACGACCAAATCTGCATCTGCGTCACAGTCCAATGTTCCCTTGACACCTTCAAGTCCCAAGAGACGTGCGGGTGTGGTAGTAACAGCATTCAGGGCCTCCGCAGTCGACGCACCCGACCATCGGCGAAAGTTGTTCACACATTCAATGAGGGTGGCAGAGCTGCCTGCAATCTTATCGGAGCCCTCAAGCGTCAACCGAGCTCCGGTTTTGACAATGCGCTCTCCGTTGGTCCAATCGTAGACACCATCTGGGAGACCACACAGCTTCATAGCATCAGTCACAAGAATCAGACCGTTTGGATGGGCGTTATACGCAATGCGAATTGAGGTGGGATGGAGATGAATGCCATCGGCGATGACACCATAGAAAGGTCGGCGGTGCTCATTTTGACCCAGAAGACCGAACACGCCAGGGTTGCGGTGGTAGAAGGGCCGCATGGCGTTGAAAAGGTGGGTAATCATGGTCGCGCCTTGTTTGGTGGCATTCATAGCTTGCTCATATGTTGCATCTGAATGTCCAATTGAATAGATGATATCTTGGGCGGTCAGGTTTGGAATATTGTTGACCATGCTGCCCACTTCGGGGGCAGCAGTGATCATTTTTACAGTTTTTGACGGTCCGATCATGTTTTCCTTACCATAGCAGTCAACAACATCATCAAAACTCTTTGCAGCACGCAAAACATCAGTTTTGTGGATGCCATTGCGGCCGGGGCTAATAAATGGACCCTCTACATGGGCACCTAGCGACTCTGCACCATCTTCTGCGCGATGTTTGGCACCAGGAGGACCTAACGATGGGAGGACCTAGAAAATATGTCAGAAGTTTTAGTCTTGATTTTGATATTTGCATATATCCACTATCGAAGGGCAACAAGAGGCCAGCAACATTAAAAAAAGTTCGGACATACTTTCCAATAAACCTCTGGCGTTGAACTAACAACAGTCGGGAGATATGATGTCACACCAGTTTTGGCGAGACCCTTATTGACCATACGCAACCCTTCATCATATTCCTCTCTTGACGCTTTGGGAACAGAAAAGTCAAAGCCTTGGGCGCCGTTTAACTGCACGTCAATAAGTCCTGGGGCGAGGATTCGGCCACCAAGGTCGATGACCTCGTCGGGAGACATGTGCAATTCATAGAAGGCCTCCTGGTCGCGAAGAATCTTTCCAGATAGAGAGTCAATCCAGACATCTTGTTCGATGAGTTGATTACCACGAACAATCCGGCAGTTGGTAAATTTTGTTATGCGTGGCGGGGTAGCTGTTTTGCCAGGCATGGTGAGCGGTTACCGTTCGTTGGTGACGATGATGCAGATAGAAAGAAATGTCTTGGCAGTCGCTGACAAGGAAACAATAGACCATAAAGAAGAATACAAGGAAAACCGAAGAAAAGAGGGGGAAATTATGCATATAGATAAGGACTAAATGGAGACCTTTCCAATCAAAGACAGAATGTGAAAGGCTACATCATGGATAGATAGTAACATCCATCACGGCCGACAGGCACACGCAAATGGAACAGGGCAAGTTCCTCAGAAAACGTGTGAAGGAGATCGGCATCCAATGGCTCCATGAGGCGTTTATTGTCTCTTGACGTTGCCTCCCATGGGGAAAAAAGTTCCACTGAGTGAGAATGTGACATCGACAGGAACGAGACAGGATGTGACGTCTATGGCCTGATGGGGCATGATATTAGGGACTCGGTTCCATAGGATCCTCCCATTGTGATGTATCATGAGGTACTCTCTTTTTTTAAAAAAGAAAAAAAAATTTTAAAATTGAATCTGATTCATATATTCATTAATTGCAATGTCCTTGTAGTGCATACAACCTCCGGAGTGGTTAGGTCTGTAGTATGGTAGTGGATTAGTCACTCGCATATCTGTACATACTAGCAATTCGTTACATACCAGTACCACTCAGGATACCAATACATACTGCCTTCATACCGAATTCGACTATACAACTAATTACCATACAGGGGAGTGTCTGTAGGCGATTGCAGACAGGAGCCGTATCCACTACAATGTATACTACAGGTCTATACCTCTTTACATTTAAAGTAGAAAAATTAGTAGTATGTACATACAAGTATTGAAGACCGCGCATGTACTTAGTAGGGATTTCTCTGCAAAAAGGCGCTAGGTAGATGAGCTTATTCAAGCATTGTACTGACTGTTTTCTTCGTTAAAATCTGCTCAATAATGATGCGATCATGATACAAATGAATTGCTAGTTTCTTTTCTCTGTTTTTTAGGGAAGGCCTTGGAAGAGAAATCTAGAGGATGTACTCCGTACATGCAGTACTTACTAACTGTACGGTTTCATCAAGCCCCACCAATACTACGCTACAACGAAGTACGGAGTACTTGTACCAGTGGGAACTCAATTCGCCTCCCCGCATTCGGCATCGAAGTTGAAGGTTGCAAACAGTCGATGTTACCGTCTCCTTCGGCTTTTCGTTGCGTTCCCATAGAACGATTCTGGTTGGACAAGGGATAAGTCTGGAGATAACCAGCCACACCTCGTGGATCACGTTTTGCAAGCGACTGCTGTTATCATAAGCAAAAAAAAAAAAAAAAAAAATATTTGGAAAAAAGAAAAAAGAAAGAAGGTTTACAAAATCTAATGAAGTTATTCTATTTACACTCAGGATATCTTCTTTCTCCTTCGATTCCTTTATCACCACTTGTCTATGTATATGAATTCATTCTCTTTATCATAAAGAGCACCGAATACAGAGAGAAAAAAAAAATAAAAAATAAAAGCTATCCATGAGACTAAGCAGTACTAAAAAAAATAATTGAATGAACACGCGACTCAGTGACTGAGACAGTTATTACCCTAAAATTTGTCTTTCTTAATCTTGAAATTTTTTATTTTTCAAAACCTCTCTTTCCTGTTACTCAATCATTTCCACTTCCATTTCTACCTCTTCTATGTTTTAGGGTTGGCCTTTTCTTTTTGTTATTTACCAAATTGTTTCGCGAATTCGGGACTCTTATTTCCCGATCGGCAATCTGTTCATTCGCTGCAGTTTCTCCGCAATTTCCACTGGAGTCGTGGAGAGTAGAACTGTGGTTGTCGATTCCTACGCAGTTCTTGGGCTGATTCTCCGCTGTACCAATCCTTCTATAGGGCCTATTCTTTACGTTTTCCTTCTCTTTTCCCTCCTTATCCTCGGACTGCAACACTCGTGGAAAGGAAACTTCCACGACGTTATCAGTCTTGTCTGACATCGTGCAAAAACACTGATACCGGGTCAACGCAACATTAGATCAAGGTACGTCTTGTCTTTTCTTCGAGAGTTATGGCTTTGTTTTTTCTCCCCACTATCGAATCGTAGATGTAGTATTGTTGTCATCTATGGTGGTATCCGCAGGTTATCTACACTACACTACACTCCACAACTGCACATCATTTGAAGTTCACAAGCACCGGCTGGATGCGACTTTGAAGCCCCGAGCTCAAGATACTCCGCCTAAAACATATGGGGTTGATCTGATTCTGCTATTAATATCCCATATTTGTTTCGCTTTTTCCCTCTTCTTCCTTACCCCAGATTGAGATCCCAACATCACAACAAACATTGAACATTCCTTCCCTCCATTGTTTTGTCCACGCTTGTGTTGTGGTGTCATTCTGTGCTACTTGAGTTCTCTCAAATTCTTTGTATAATACTTATATTTCCAAAAAGGAAAACCACCCGACCAAACTTTTTCCTCTTTTTCTCGCCTACACATTGATACCCTTTTATTCTATTCCATTCACTTGCTTCCGGTAACTTCCCTTCTTTTCGCCTTTTTTTCCCATTTTATTTAGATATATATTCTTTGTATTTTGATGTGTGTGTCCCTCCCTCTATCTTTTTGTTTACCTTGCTCCACCTGTTTCACCCCTTTTTCCTTCTCCTACATTCTTCCTCAACCCTTGCCCTCTCTCTCTTTTCAAGTTTGACCACCACCAAACCCTCCATTTTTGTCTCTCTTTTTCTTTGATCCACTATTGTGTATTGGACTGAGCTTGAACATTCCGCTTTCAGGTACTGACCGCTTTGAAGTGAACTCCTACTCTCCTAACGAGCTCTTACGCAGCCTCTTATCACAGCCTTTAGAGATTCCCTTCTTGCATCCTTCAAAGCAATGGGTAACTCAACGGTTGGCGATGATAATCCTGCGGAGAAGGAGTTTGCTGCCGCCACTTCGGACCCCGAGGCTGGTCAGGACTCTGTCACGGGGAAACCATGGATGTACAAGCCCTGGAAGATCGGCCCTTTAACACTACCTTGGTTTGCACACCCGATGACCCAGCTCGTTCTGGTCTCCTTTGTTTGTTTCCTTTGCCCTGGCATGTTCAATGCTGTGAGTGGTCTTGGGGGTGGTGGCCAAGTCGATGCAACCGATGTTAACAAGGCCAACACTGCGCTATACAGCACATTTGCCGTGGTAGGCTTCTTCGCTGGCTCCATTGCCAATCGTATTGGCCTCCGCCTGACTCTCTCGCTTGGTGGTTTTGGATACTTCCTCTATGTGGCATCACTGCTCTCATATAACCATAACTCCAATGCCGGCTTCCTGGTCTTTTCTGGCGCGCTGCTTGGTGTGTGTGCTGGGCTGTTGTGGTGTGCCCAGGGAGCCGTCATGATGAGCTACCCACGTGAACACGAAAAGGGCAAATATATATCCATCTTCTGGGTGATCTTTAATCTCGGTGGCGTGATTGGCAGTCTGGTAGGTTCTTTTGCTCCCATATCCTACTCATATTTAGTAGGAGAACAAACATTAATGATGCCATTCGTACGCACAGGTACCTCTGGGCCAAAATCTGCACTCTACCGCTGGTCGGGTCAATGATGGTACATACATAGCTTTCATGGTCCTTATGGCAGTTGGTTTTGTTCTCGCATGGGGTTTATCGGATTCAAAGTACATTATGCGCTCAGACCATTCACGTGTCATCGTCATGAAGAACCCCTCCTGGAAATCAGAATTCAAAGGTCTTCTTGAAACCCTGCGCAGTGACTATTACATTGTCCTAATGTTCCCTTTGTTTTTGTCGAGCAATTGGTTTTACGGTTACCATTTCAATAGCGTCAATGGCGCCTATTTCAATGTCCGCACTAGGTCTCTCAACAGCTGCCTCTATTGGCTCATGCAAATGGTTGGTGCCTTCATCTTCGGCTTTACTCTGGACATGAAGTTCTTTTCTCGGTCAATGCGCGCAAAGATCAACTTCGCCCTACTCTTCCTTCTCACATTGGGCGTTTGGGGTGGCGGTTATGCATTCCAGAAGCAGTATACTCGTGCCGACGCGCCGCTTGATAAGGACTGGTCGGATAGTGGCTATGTTGGTCCTATGTTCCTTTATATGTTTTATGGTTTCTACGACGCTGCCTTCCAAACCTGCGCTTATTGGTTAGTTCACCGCCTTTCTTTACCTCGCCGTCCGCGCACCACCTGCCCCCTTTAAAGTATGAGAGTTGAGGATTGACGATTAACCTTTGTATTACAGGTTTATGGGATCACTTACCAACAACGCGCGCAAATTGGCAAACTTTGCTGGTTTCTACAAGGGAATCCAGTCCGCTGGCGCAGCGGGAATGTGGGCGTAAGTCATCATATAATTGTGTCTACCCAATCGAATGCTTCAATTCCTTATTGACGACTCTCTTCCACAGCCTGGACCTTGATAAGGCTCCTTTTATGACCGAGCTTGCCTCTTGTTGGGGTCTTCTTCTCGGAAGTCTTCTGATTGCATCCCCCATAATCTTCTTCAAGATTAAGGACCATGTAGATATCGAAGATGATCTCAAATTCTCCGACGAAACAACACATGACGTCATGGGTAACATCCCTATGGAAGAACAGACATCTGGAAAGAGGGAGGAGAAGCGGACGTCTGTCGCTTAATTTTGCCTAGTGTTGATTCTTTGCTGCTTATTTGAATGTATCGCTCCTTTACACTAAGGCTAACAGTTGATATCCATAATGACATGTTAGGTGGCCTCAGTGAAGCTTCTCTTTAACCCTTTACCCCGAGGTACAGACTCTCAACTTTTGATGTACCATTGAAATAATGTTCAATCATGTATTTAATTATGCCCAGTAGTCATGAATAGTTTAACATGAGACTGTCTGACGTAAACCGAGAAAGTAGGGATGGTTCCCGTTAACAGAGTTACGTGCCCGTACCACTGGCTCCCATGGCACGTCTCGAAGTGGCAAAAGAATGATAGTGTTGTTACTGTGCCTTTCCAGACAAACTTCGGTCCATGTGTATGTACATGTGCACCGACGTGAAAATTACATCCTTACATTTATGCATCAGGTATCATGACGTCATAATGTTTCAACCGTCTCGTCATATACTATGCCATAGTGTATTCATATGACACCAGCACTGGACATGTCGGTAGCCGTAGGCAGCGGCACAGATGACTGGGTATGTGTAGCCGTGGCCGTTCCATTCGTCTTGTAGCTGGGCCAGACCTTGTTCTGGCCCTGAGCGATATCCCAACCAAAGATAGTCCGGTTAAACAATTGTAGTGAGGCGATGGGCTGGTAGTACGGAACTTCATGGCCTGCCTCAAAGACACGAGTGAAGGAAAGATTACCATACTCGCGAGTTTCCCCATACTCGATACCATTGACTGTCAGGGGCGTGTACCCTGCGCTTCGGAACTGAGCGGCGTGAGAGTAGTTTGCGGCGAGGGATACGGCCTGGCCGCCGAACCAGTTGCAGATATAGTCGGCGTCGCCATAGATGAGGGAGACACGCACAGGGAGAGCGAGGATCTCCTCAAGGTCCTCGATGAAGTTGGGCCAGACAAAGTCGCCAGTTTGCTGGAAGGCGTAGTAAACATCATTGTTGGACTGGGTGTAGTTGATGTTAACGCCGATGGCGTCCATGACAGAGTCCTTCGCCAGAAATTTGTTGTAATAACTTGGCGGAGTCGGGTCCTATTACCACATAAGGGGTTTTACCCGTCAACAATGAACCATGCATCGCATTGCATGCGGTGTGTAAGTAGAAGTTAAAAGCTCTACTTACATCGTATAGATGCCGAATATCATACACACCACGACCACTAAAAGCGTAGTATGGCCCCTCTATTTCTCGTGTTAATGTTTGTACCAGTTTGAATCATATACCTTGTGTTTCAGGGAGGGAAAAAAACGTACCAACATTGTCCCTGCACATGTTGGTCGCTTCAGCGCAGAGGGCGTAGTCAGCTAATGCGGTGCGGTTGGTTTGTTTGCAAGTGGAAATCATATCCTGGCAACCATTTGGCATTTGGTTGGCAAACTTCATATAGTTGTAGACAGTCTCGTTGACCTTGTCATGGTGATGAGTATCCATAGGAATAATCACATCGGCATAAGGAGAAACCCACAGCTTTAATACCATATGTGTTGTTCACGGCGAACTCAGGGTAGTAAGGGGCCTGCAGGCATAGGTTAGCAGCTTTGCTATGGAGGATGTTCTATCGGCTGTTTCGATGGTATACCTGGATCGCCTCGTCGATGATGCCGTTGATAATTCCCAGAGAGTTGAAATTAAGCTGAACACCATCAGTAGTACCATTGGCGATTCTCTCATTCTGCTCATAGAAATAATTGAAGAACTGGGTTGGTTAGTCTTGCATTTCTTTTGACACGTCGCCCTAGTAGAACTCACTGCAGGACCATAGTGCCTTTGAATCAGAGGAAACCTATCAGCGCAACCATCACAATTATTTAGAGATTTGCACAAGAAAACCACCTACCCTCCGTAGCTCTCCGTCCATAGACTGAAGTCCTTAGACTGCACCCTAGAATCCAAGTTCGGCAGTCCACCAAGGAATCCTTGAAGGATCTCCCAAGCGGTCTCTGCGGCAAGAGTGGTAGTATCTGCTGTCGTATCAGTAAATGGAAACATGTGGACCAGAAGGAACCAGTACCAATCAAAGTAGCATCAATAGTTGGGTAGCGGCCCTGAACTCCTGCGAAGCTCGAATTTTCGACGACCCCAGTGACAGGGTTAATGGACCCATCAACCGTATCACTATAAGAAAACCCTACAGGCAGAACATCGTCAATATAGGAAGACTGCAGTAGCGGAGGACGCGGCAATCCATACCAACTCCCAACGGCTGGGACAGAAATAGTAAATTGGAGACCTCGTTCCACGAGTGAGGGTTGATGTAATCATCAAAAGTCGAATTGACATGGCAAGGGCCCAGCTCTAACCAAAGGTTAACAGCGATCTGGAAAAAGCAGACTGTAACGAGCGTCGAGCAAACCTTCGAAAAGACCGATCAATGAATCGCTCCCAGGGCCACCGTTCAACCACAATGTGATAGGTGCAGTCTCGGGGTTATGCCTAGCTTCGAAGAACCAGAAGAAGGTATGGGACTCGGGAGAAGTGTCGACATATCCCGAGTAGGATTTGACACCTGGGGTAGTTTCGCAGACACCCTCTGCACCGGGTTCCTTGTACCGGATGGTGACATTGTTTGCGGTTGTAATGGTCTTGACCCCGGCGGGGTTCTTGGGTAGCTGTCGTCTATCCACAGACGCCGGGGTACTTCCTGGAAGCGCCCAGCTGGCTGCAACCAAGGATAGTACCAAGAGAAATTCGTAGCCACGCATATTTACTAAGATTCAGCAGTCCACTCCCGATGCCTCGTTTGGTCTATGTCCTAAACGTATGCAAGGAGAGATGCTATCCAGCGACCAGCAACCTGGATCTGAGCAACTCGCAACGTCTTCGGTTACTGGGGAGGTCAGCGCTCAGAGGAATACCCTCTGACTTTTATACGTCGGGGTAACCCACTTCTAGCATTGAGATATGGCCCACATGGTGGGAGGGGGCGGCCTGTATGCAGCCATTAGGGGGCATTGAATGCAATTCAATGTACAGACATTGGATTGCGATACCGACTAGTTACTTATCCTGGTAGCATTTCGGGCATTTCGGGCATGACTTGTTTGGCATGGACGGAATCCACGGAATAGTAGTCTGAGCAAGATTAGCTTTGCAGATCGCTCCATAATAGGCCGCGTGCGGTGTCACCTTGGACGGCTTATTTTCTCTAGGTAGTGTCAAGGAAACCTGCTATCTACTTGCTATATCCGTCGGGTGGCCTTCTAATCGCTTATCGCAGGATCAAACCGGAGCTTCCCAGAATGGAGAGGATCGGCAAGATGAATCAATTGACCTGGGCTGGGTTACGTATCTCTTAAACCCCGCAATCATCGGAGTCAGGAGTCAGGACCCATGGCGATCATTCTGGAGCCGGTTCATTAGCAGCGGGGAACTGTGTGCTAGGGCGCCTTGCATTAGGGATAATAACCTGTCAGAAGAGGGTTAATGTATAATAGAAATGTTCGGATCGTTCAATCTGGACAAAGATTACCCCTCAATTGGTTCTTACACACTTCCGTCGTCTTACATACCAAAGTCCATCCATACGGCAAGTCTCCTGATAGACGATGTAGCGACAATACATTCCCAGAACAAAAATAAATCAATGAATGATAGGTATGTAGAAAGAACATTAAAGTGGTGCCCACCAGTAGAACTTTATAGATTGTAACAATCTATGGTTTCACCTCGATGACTCCACTTATCGACGACGACGACGACTACTACTACTACTGGGGAAATGATCAAATTTAGATTGATAGAAACATGGGTCCCAGAACTCTGTCGATCCTATACCGAAGCCGAGACTCCCACGGCATACTTTGAGACTCGTAAAGAGATGCCGGATGCATGTGATAAAGCTCCAGACACCGATACTTCAGAGTGCTGGAGGAGGTGGCCCGCGGGTCGGTCGGCTTGATCGGAATGCTGCACTTCTGCTTTCGGTCCGACTGAGTCGAAAGTGCGGCAAAGGGAAGCGGCACGTCATGGAAAACACACGCGAACAGACAACTAAGAAAAGATTCATATATCAGTCTGTCATATTCCTCATTATGTACTTTTCGAGATTATCTCTATACAATATAAACACAGTTGTTCTCACGGGGAGGCGAAACCGACATAAATCACATCCTAGAGTGCCGTTACGCATGATGCGCCATCCTTTACATGCCCTTGCTTTTTATAAGATCAAGTCACACCTAACCCCGTAATACACGCGTAACCACCCGGACAAAGGGAAATAGAATGGAAAATGAAAAAGAGAAAGTATCGTAACACATAGCCTGTTATAATCATAGATTCAATCCAAGCTCGGCTTCGAGATCAGCAATGCCATTAAGCTCGGCCCGTGATGCCTCGTTGGCGCCCAGCGCTGTTGAGGTGCGATCCTCATGGAGTTGCCCATCGCCTAACCCGGCCAACCCAACTCCTTTGTTCTCAGTTCCGAACAAGTCCGGCACGGTGTCCATGGTGCCGATATTGAAACCATACCCTTGGGCTTTCGGGTTACCACTGATGTTAAGACCATCATCGGCAGCGAACAATTCCGCACCGGTGTCATCAAAGTTGATCAAGGCGTCGAAGTCGTTCTGAGTCACCTCCGCATCATTTGCTAAGTCCATAAGTTCGCTAATGCTTAGGTCGGAGTCTAGATTAGGTATTGCGAAAGCGTCCTGGTGGTAGTGTGGGTTAATGTTATTGGTACTGCCATTTTCACTTCCGTCTGAGGGTGGCGGCGTAGACGCGAATCCAGAGGCCTCCGCAGTTTCACCAGCTAGTCGGGTGCCGCTGGTCTTGGGGTATGTCAAGTCGGGAATCTTCTGTGCAAGAGAATCCGGGGGCGGCGTCAATGTATTCAATCGAACGGAATCAAATGTGCTATTGTTTCGTGCCTGTACGTCTTGCGGTGCCACTGTGAGTTGAATGCCGGCCTTGCGGATCGCGGCCTCCAAGAATGACGTGGCAAAGTCGGCCGATGCGTAGATCTCCCGCAAGCGCTGGAGAATGCGCATGCATTGGTAAAACCGTTGAAGGCTAACCATCCGGACATTGGGGTCACTGGACTTGATGTCAAGAAGGTGAATGATAACGGCAGGCAGGAGCACGGTCACACCGGTCGTAGGGAAATAACGAGTTAAATCTAAGGCGTGCAAGTCTTGAGCAATGTTTGTGATCTCGACCGCAGCAAATCGAACCTTATTCCGAGAGATATCCTGTAACTCTGCGTCCGTCGAGGGAAATGGCATGGCAGGAAGAACTTGAGGACGGTGTAACGCGCTTGACGTTGTCAAGTAAACCATCTTTAAGAGAGCCCGATGGGAATGCAGGACTTCTTGTGCCTCGGTTAGCTTCGCTGGGGCCATAGGAGCGTATTGAATCTCCGACGGAAGATGGGCCAGCCAATCTTCCAGCTCCTGGTCGCATCGTCGAACTTCAAATGTCTCTGCCGCCGACTTCTTCGGAACCAACATCATAGTCGTTTCCATTGTACCACCAAACTTATGGCTGAGCACGGAATATTGTGCCGAAAGGACGTGGCTCACACAGAGACAAAGCTTCGCCTTCTCAATGAACATGAGCGCGAGCTCTTTCTGGTGGCTCACGTTTTGGAGAATCTCCGAATTGCCCACCATACTGACAATCTCTGGTGAAAATGGATGGAATTCAAAGTCGTCTAGGGTTAACATGGGAACATCACAATCGTCATCCTTGACGCGCATGGGACGCCTCATTCCCAGGGCAATTAGGCGATCACGAGTGTAGGTGCTCCACCATATGCGCTTCCACATTCGCTGGCGTCGAGCATCCATCCGAGAATTACCTGGGTCACGATGCAAACCGATGGTATGTGCTAGAGACAAGCTGACACCCATCCAATGCCAGGTGTCCTTCTGATCATCTGGAGTTTCATACCAGTAAGTCATCAACAGCAGGGACTGTACAAGCGAGATCCGATCCACCTCATAGTCGAAGTCGTACAAAAGCCTGGCGCGTTGGAAGAATGATTTCCGGGCTGCCTTCCGGCTCGAGTATCCGGCGGCTTGAAGGTGCTTCAGGTCAACGAAGGCAGTACCGGCAAACATCACGGCCTGAAATAGAAGGAGACTCATACGGCGAATTCCGTCATTTTGCACGATAGTCTGCAGGAAGTCCTCCAGATCTAAGAGGGGCATGTACGTGTGGACATAATGTATGTAGGCTTTGAGCAATTCATTCCGCAGTCCCACATCAGGCACCGTCAAGGCTCCTTTCATTGCCAGATAATCGATGTCCTCCTTCTGCAACCGAGGTGGTAATCCTCGAATATAATCAGGCAGGATGATGCCTCCAGACCTGGCGTTGGCAAAAGAAGGATCCAATAGTTGCTGGATCTGCGAGGTGACGTGGTGCAGAGGCATGGTGGCAGGCACTGCAGGATTGGGCGCCATTCTCCTTCGATATCGTTCAGCACCAGCACCAATTCTGCTGACTTGGCTCTGATCTATATACGTCGATTATATCAGTACAAACGTGCATACGTTACACTCAAAAGAGTCTCGTTCCCCAGGGGTGTAGGCAAATACGAACAGAGAAGATGTGGCATATGTTGCCCCTGGTCAAGGTCTACGGAACGCTGAGAAGGAGACGCAGGGGCAACATCCGAGAGCCCGTGGCACTCACTGAGTCTTCGCAGAAGATTTCCGTCTTCGGGAGCCTCCGCGGGCGACTGAGAGAGCTGATGATTGGGGTTGTCAACCTCAACACGTGATTTCCTGGAAAGTGGCAAAGTAGCGCACTCGATGTTAGCCCGCGATTCTGCGACGAGTGAGGCAAACGGGTCATGTTTTCGGCATGGACGAACTTTCTCCTCTTGCTCTCGGTGACAATGCAGTCTACTTGATCCAGGCGACAATTCGTACAAGGAGAGCCATTCTCAACCACGTCACAACGAACTTTCCGAGCGCGGCAGCAACAGCATGCTTTCGACGCCCTCCGTTTTACGGGCCGGGCATTGGCAGGGAGGCCCGCCGTCGAAGCCTTTCGCTTCCCCTTGGCCTCGTTCTCGGCCATGTTACTCGATGATGGCGAGGCAGTGAGATTCGTCATTGTGAAGTGTGCAATTTCCGTTGACGCCAAAGATCCATCAACCGGTTAACTTATCGTATTAAAGGAGCCGCGGTGGAGTTTAAGCTCATATAGAATAATGCTATAAGAGAAGGACCGATATGGTAAGAAGAGGAAAAATGGATGGTGAAAAAGAAGAAAGAGAACACAATTCCAAAACTGTTATAACCAAATCAAAAGAGCCAAGAGTGGAGAGGACCGTTCGTTTAAATTTCTTTTTTTTTTTTATAAAATTTTATTTATATATAAGTTTGGTAACTGGGGTACCACATTCAAACCTTTTTCGTCCAAGGGGACGAAAAGAAGAGGCGAGACTTGAGGATGGGGGAAAGGAATGTTTAAGTAGTGAACCAATATGTAACATGTCCACCAACAAATCGGTCAGGAGGCGCTGGCGTTGGGGTTGGCGATGAATGCCCCCAGATCCACACTGTGACTGTGTTGCCTCCCCCAGACCTTGACCAACGGACTCCATCCATGAATCCAGAGGGTTTCAATACTAATCGGTCATCCATCCATTTTCCACCGAAATGACGCTAGCCCCAATTGTGGATGGATATTTACCTCACGCTTGAACTAATGGGATTAGGGCGGCCTAAGTTCGGCGGGGTGGGTGGAAACGGGGGAGATTCCACTGAAGAGCGCGCGCTTTGAGCCAGTGGTCGGCGACTGCTTACTGTACCCTCTCCACAAGTCCACCCAATGACGGTCCGAATACTGCTCCACTCCTCGCAGCCGTTTCCACTCCCGATGGCTTTCCTACTAATTCGAGGAGCCTGAGAATAAATAAT